GCCCAAGGAACCTGAACAATTTCAATAGGGATTTGGTGAATAATTTAATATATCATTGTTATCATCAGGAACCACAAAAAGAATTGGTTGTTGTTGCCAGTCTGGTAGAAGAAACAAAACCTGGTGCCACGTGTGTTGTTCTACCCCACCCCCCTCCTGGCAACCCATGCCCACCCGGAACCGAGGTTGTTGTTGCCAGTCTGGTAGAAGAAACAAAACCTGGTGCCCCGTGTGTTGTTCTACACCACCCCCCCCACAACCTCCGGGGGGCGCCCCACAGGGGCGCGCCCCGTGTCTTCCTTTTGAACAAATCGAATGGGGCTCCAGTCTTTGTGCTTACCAACAACAACAACAAAAAGCAACGACCAGCACAGGCAGCAGCAGCAGCAGCAGCTACAACTGCAACACAACCACAACCACCAGACCGGCCCCACCCCAGCTGCTACTGCAACGGCAACTGCTACTTTGCAACTGCAACTTTTCAACTGCAACTACCAGAACAACAGTGAAAGCGAAAGCGCGAACCGAAACGCAGGCAACAACTGCAACTGCAACCGTAACTGCTGTTACGAATCCGACGTTCAAGCCGAATTCTACTTCTAGTTCTATTACGACTAATAACCACGACGACGACTACTACCAGTACTACCACTACACAGCTTTAGGATTGCTTCTGCTACTAACTTCTGCTACTGCTTCTGCTGCTACCACTGCTACTTCTACGGCTACTGCAAGTCCTACTACTACTACTACTACGACGACGACGACTGCTGCTACTGCTGCTACCACCTTCACTACTACGACCAGGACCACTACAGTACTACCAAGACCGCAACTACTACTTCTGGTGCAACGTGACTGCTTCTACTACTCATGCCACGGCTACTTCTGCTGCTGCCACTCCTCTCACCACTGCTCCTCTTACTACGACGACGACGGCGGATAGTAGTAGTACTAGTAGTAGTAGTAGTAGTAGTACTACTACTACTACTACTATAGCATTATTTGAATTTTTGTAATAACTACAACGCTACTAATACTACTAATACCTACTTGTACTGCCATGACTACTTTCTGACTACTGCGAATGTTCATAAGCGTCATGACAACAATTTTGGTTGCTACCAGGTACTACCACTACTAATAACATGAACAATCGGATTATTGATTAACATATCAATACAATACTACAATTGATCGTAGAAACAATAATCAGCAATAGAAGATTACGACGACTTGAAACTCACGTGTTAGCTAGCTAGCTTTGCTGCATGCTGAAAGTTGGTTTCCAGTCTGGTTTTGGTCAGTGCCATTATAGCACGCATTATGGGTCTGCGTGACAGGATCTGGGGCATGGCACGCCCGGTCCCCTCGTGTTTGCAGTGGCGGGTGGTACATCTCCAAACCGGGAGAGAGTTGCAGAGAACTATCTCTTGCAACGAAAATCTGAGTGAGCCATCCAGCAGTAGCTGGTGGAGACAACTGCCGATACGTCTGAACCAACGCTGCTGATGTGTTTCTTCGTGCAGCGTCAAAGGCTGCTTTCTCCATATCGTCTGGCAGTCTTTGCTTGTCCGTCTGTCTGTCTCAGTCCCGGTCTGCAGGGGAAAAAGCTCTTCTTCGGCGAGATTTGCTCAATTGAACCAACCCCTGGCAGGAAATGGGTCGTAGAATGAACTCATGCCAAAGGCGGGGCGCACACTTGCGCTTCCATCGGATGACACACGCACACACACACACACAAACACCAACTAGGTAATTTGCGCCTTCTCGAGTGCAATCTTTCGCTCGAGTTCGCTGGCCTGAGGAAGAAACCGCAAGGATCCAAGCCGAGCTTTTGCAGATTGGGCTGGTTATGCAGAAACCACTGAGGGGTGGCATCGTACTGCCAAGCCACACTCATGGCTTCTTCCGGCTTCTGCTCAGGCTCCTTTTCCTTGCAGACCAAAGGCAGTGCCTGCGCAGGCACTGCTTGCTGAATCCACAAGGTCCCAAAGCCCGGCCTTCGTCCCGATCGGCCACACACACATACAGAGACCCGCCCCGATTTTTCCATATTAACGGTCGGACTTCACTTGCTTACTGATCTTCAGGCTGCTGAATCCTTTAACTGAGTCAAGCAACCTGCTGTTTCGGCATTGGTCTGCCCTTGGTCTGGCGGATAGGCACCGCTTCTTCTTTTTTATCTTTTTTCCGATCCTTTTCTTTGTCCTTCTTTTTGTCCTTCGGGGGGCTGCCGGACCCAGCGCAAACGAGGGAGAGTGCCTATGCCTGCATGGGCTCCTTCTTGCTCTTCTTGCCGGTGGGTGTTAGTGGCGAGCTCGGTGCCGCCGGCGCTTTCGGCTCAGGAGACAGGATCTGAGACAAGAGTGGTCGCTTGCCAGCTTCCTTCCTGAGATGAGCCGAGCATTTCAAGCAGAGTCAGAGCCGCCGCGCTTCAAGCAGAGGAAGACAGAGCCGAGCCGAGAGTCTCCCTGGCCATCCGCTCCTTTGCCGCCTGAAGCTTGGCCTTCAGCTCTTCGGAGGCAGACCTGAGACAAGCCGCTGGTCTAGCCGCCGCTCCGAAGCCGCCGGCATCCTAGGAAGGCGCTTTTTTAACGGGCTTTGCTGCCAGGCAACAGGACCGGTCCCCCCGGCTCGGCCGAGGCAGATCGCCCTTTCTTCTGCTCAAGCTTGCTGCGCAGGTCCTGTGTCGCAGCCCACTGATCATCCGTACTTAGCAGGACTGTGACGCCTGTGTGTCAGCTCGGACAATGAAGCCCTGGGCTCGTTGATGGCCAGGGAGGCAAGCGGATGAAACTCCCTCCAATTGGATGGCTCGGACACGTCAACACTCCAAATCCCAAATGCCCCCTTGGACCCGCTCTCTGTCCCTAACAGATGCTTTGGACACCGCCCGGGTCTCACCGGACTGCTTGGCCTGGAGGCAAGAATTCGGGCATGCACATGAGGAAAACACGGAACATCCTCACCTGATTGCGGAGAGTTGGCGCACTCGCGAGACAATGCTATCATCTTGCACTAGGACACCAACTACTGGGCAGCAAACTACAGAGCCAAAGTGGCCCAATGTAGCCCCTCTCAGGAGTCGAGAGTCCCTGCTGTGGCACAAGTCCGAATACGACATCAAACTCCTTTTGGGAAGGTGCGCACTTCTGCATAGAATCTCTATCGCAGAGCCGAACTTCGAATCACCAAGCTGTTCCGATAAACGGTGCATTTTCATGCCTTCTCCCCGGGCTCCAGGGGATCCGCTGCGCTGGCATCGGGCCGGCGAGGGTCCACTGCCACTTCCATAAAAGAGGCAAGGGAGCCTTCAGCCGAATGCTCTTACAGGGAATGACTTCTTCTTCACCGACTTCGAACCATGCTCTGCTTCTAGGCTGTCTTGCATAACCTGACAGGGCAGTCTTGGAGACTGGATGGCTGTTTTGACAGGATGACAGGTTGAGCATGGAACTGTAAGTTGTCGGATGCAGAAAGGCTCTGCTGCCAAGAAGCCCAAGGCTTCTGCCGCCTTGACGGCCACGTCATCGTCGCTGCCATCATCCATGGTCCATGTGCTGCGTTTTTCTAAGACTGAAGAACCAGCCGACCAGCAGCCAGGTCTGCGGGGTTTGGGGTCTCTTTCGCGCGTTGCGGATCGCGAATACCCGGTCGAGTGATGCACAACCTATGCGCGCATGTCTGGTGGAAGGGGACCACTGCTTAGCTGCCTGGAGCTGCAACGATGAAGCTTGTGGTCTTTGGATGGCTCGTTGAGATTGCCTTGTTCTTTTCAATTTATAACGTATATAGATTGCAAGCCATGGATCCCATGAGTCTCAAGCCTACTGAACTAAAGGCCTTGAGCTGACATGGAAAGAAGCATCTGATGGCAGGGCCCATTCAAGACCAAAGTTAGCTCAGCAAGACGGTCCCGTGATGCTTCGTTGGGGGGTGGAGCTTGAGTTGGGACGACCCAAGCCTGGGACAAGCAAACACGAAGTCCAAGCGGACCAAGCATCGACACACCACAAGCTGCCAATGTCGCAAGCGCAGCAATTCTGATGAAGAAAAGCAGGCGCCACTGTCGGGGCGGTGTCATCCAAGCTTTGTCAGAACTAACAAGTCACCTCCGAATGTAGGATCATGGCGAGATTCATTCGTTTTGCGTCTGATCAGGTTGAGTTTCAGAAGAGGCATCACGCGCCGCCAACCCTGAACCCACCGGTCTGGGGCCCATGCTAGACAAGGCCAGTGAGTCGCTCAGGGACTCGGCGATGGGAATCGCCTGTGCAAGCCATTGGAACGGGGGACCTACGATCTGGCTCGATTCGTGGATCGTTTGCTTCTTCACTGCCAAACTTTTCAGTGCTCATGGCACATTCCATGGCAGCAACGTGATGACACCTCAAACCTTCTCGCCAGCCTTTTCGACGGTGCTGACGACTTCAGCGTATCTCATGCCTCTCGCATGAACCTGCGGATCAAGATCGTGGAAACGCATTCATGCACTTCCTCTGGTTCTCAGCCCGCAACATCTGCCAAGATCTGGAGGGCTGTCACTTCACCCATCCTTGGAGCGTGCACTTGCGAGACCCTTCGTCGCGTCTGGAGCAGCCAGGCAAAACTAGCAATGCTTTTCCGGGAAGCGCCAGAGGGTAGCATGTCTTCAATTCAAAAAGCCGTGACATTCAGTCGGCAACGAATCAGCACTGCAGAGAGATCCACGAGATCGGTGTAAATCCGGCAGGGCCTGGATCCAAAATCACCATCCGGCCGCTGCAGAAAGTTGAGCGGCTCGCCGTAAAAGCTTTCTCGGCAGAGTCTTCCTTGACAAATTCATCGTCAAGGTTCCTGGCGCATTCGGTCGAACTGTGTCTGCATCGGAAGAGCCCTTCAGAGAAAGTGACGAAGTGTGGGCGGTCGTCATGTCGCTCGATGTCTCCATGCTGCACCACTTCCGGAGCGATGCATCGGATGGTCACCAGGCTGCAGGGTCCGACACCAAGAAGTTCTCAGTGCTCGTCCACAGTGTCTCCTGTGCGTTGCACATAGTGTCTTCTGCACCACTTGCAAAGCATCGAGGTAGGCGAGGCTTAGGCAACACCTGAGGTCTGCTTGGCCATAGGTTCAAACTATTTTTGGCCCGCATCATCTCATAACGTCTTTCTGTACTCGCTTGCTGGCACAACACGCCCCTGCCCACACAGTAAGATACCCATCAAAAGTTCTTAATCAGGAGTACAGTTTGATCCGCGTTCTTTATGAGAGATCTCGGAACATGTCCCCTCCAGTCCTCGTGGGTACTTGGACGTGAAATCAAGAATGGCCCGGCCCGCTTTGCTTGCTGTCTTCGAGCTTCCTTGCACAACGCGGCAGGCTGCAAATGGTTTCGCAATGCACCGGGAGGCTTCAATGCACTACTCACAACGGCAACAAAGCATCAATCCCAAAGCATTCACCAAAGTACTGAAGCCAGTGCTGCCGGATCTCGCAACAAATGGTCTCCACCTGCACGATGGCATGATCGTGAACTTAAGTTGCGCTCTGTGTCGAAAATCACAACGTTGAATGACTCTTTACGTCTCATTCGTGGAGTAGGACTAGGATTATAACCCTGATTCCGTGGTAATCGTTGGCTTGGGAAAATTACTTATTTTTGGATTTAATCTGTCATTTATTTGTGTTTTCAATCTGTCACAGATCTGTGATCAGCCATGTCGGTGGTTTTTGAAGTTGTGATTTCTTTGTGATTTATCTGTGATTCATCTGGTTGGGGCTGGATTCCAATCTGTGTTTTTTTGTGATTTATTTGTGTTTTGCTTGTCAGTGTTTTCAGCGGTGCCTGCGGTGTCACATCGCACCAATTAGCAGTGGGGCACCACTTCGAGGCCACAGTGACGGCAACAAATCGTACTTCTTAGCACTGGCCACAGCAGTGCCACCACTTCGAGGCCATTGCAACGCTTAGTCAGACTTAGTCGTACAGAGCAATGGCAACAAATCGTGCTTCTTAGCACGGCGACACCACTTCCAGTTCCAGCCCCCACGACAGCGCTTCCAGAAAGGGCCCGGACAGCCTGTGAGGCCCCGCAGAGGGCGAGCGGGGCGGGCCACAGCCGGGCCGAGACAGCTAGGGGTTTTAGGGGGCCGCGGGCCTGCCCGGTGAGGCCCCGCAGAGGGCGCGGGCGCCTGTGCGGGGGCTCCCGGACCCTGGCGACAGCTCGTGGAATCTGTCAAAAATGTGTCAAAAATCTGTCAAAAATGTGTCAAGATGTTCCGGGTCCCTGCCACCCTGCCCACCCCGCCCATTTGTTGGCATTGCTGTGGCCAGTGCTAAGAAGTACGATTTGTTGCTGTCACTGTGGCCTCGAAGTGTGCCCCACTGCTAAGAGGTACGATGTGTTGCCGTTGCTCCTCACGCAGGAATGCTGTCAAGCGAAACTTCCGATAGACTTAGCCTGCTGATGAAGGAGGTCCTGCTGCTCGAAAAACTCCAGAACCAGCTCGATTTGACGGCTCTGACACGACCACGTGTAAGCGAGCAGTTCAGATGAGACAGATTTGGGACAGATTTTTCGTAGATCTGCCAGAAACTGTTGACAGATTACTCACAGATTATTCACAGATGCCAAACCCTACCAGCCTGCAGGTGACAGATTTCTGACACATGTGGAAGACAAACTAAAGACAGATATTTGACAGAATTAATTCCGGAACCTGCTCCCAGAGATTACAAGTAATCAAGGTTATTAGACTAGGAACGCTACCAGCTTGTGCCAAGCAGAACACAAAGAAAAGATACGATCACACCCACGGTCCACCGTAGACTGGCCAGGAAAACATCACGTTGTTGAACTCTTCGTCAGTCTGCGCGACCCTTTTGCAAAACCCCACATGAGCTCACATGCATGCGTAAGTGCATGTTAATGTTCACATCCGTCATTGCCCTAAGACGATTAAGCTGTAGAGCCGGTACAGCATACCGCAGCAACCATTAGTCCTCAGTCAAAGCGGGAAACAAAGCAATGAACTAGAAGTGCCTGTCGCAGCGATGTCTGCAACCCCTACGCAATCATCAAGCGATCGACAATAGCCGCTCATTGGCGAAGCACAAGCCAACTCCATGTTCTGGTCGAGAAGAACTTCACACTTCGGATACACAAAATGAATGATGCCAGCCTTTCAGCACCAAGAGCTCCTTTGGATGCGCAGCTGCCTCGAACAGCTCCTGCAAGCTCAAGGACATGGTACCTCTACACGGTACGATCACCTCCCAAACATGAGTACCAAATCGGCAAAGCAGAGAAACGTACCGGCAAAGGCGTGAATTAAGCGACGACAAAGCGACAGCTGCAGCAGCAACAACAACGGCAGAAGAAACAGCATTTACAACAACAGCAACAACAGAAAACACCACAGCGACAGCAACACCCCCGCCACCGCCACAACCACCAGCACCACCAACTACAGCGACGACAAAAAACAACACAGGCAGACCAACAACGCAAAATACAATCAAGCCAACAACAGTTTTCACAGGCACACCAGCAACAAAAGCACAAAAACCCATCTTGCTTTCCTAGACCCTCGAGCGCCCCCCCATGGCTGGGCAAAGGGCGGAGCGGCATCGAAACTATGAGGTTAGAGTTTGGGTTTAGGGCTTCACTAAGCGCAACTGCCCTCAGTTTTTCAGGACTTGGCCAACAACTACAACACCGGCGACGAGGAGGACACGACCACAACAACAACAACAACAACAACAACAACAACAACAACAACAACAACAACAAGAACAACAACAAACACAACAAACACAACAAACAAACAAACAAACAAACAAACAAACAAACAAACAAACAAACAACCAAGCAAGCAAGCAAGCAAGCAAGCAAACAAACAAACAACAACAAACAACAACAGCGACAGCAACAGCAGCGGCAAAAACAACACCCACAACGGCACCAACAACAACAACAGCGACAGCAACAGCAGCGGCAAAAACAACACCCACAACGGCACCACCAACAACAACAACAACAACAACAACAACAACAACAACAACAACAACAACAACAACAACAACAACAACACCAACAACAACACCAACACCAACACCAACACCAACACCAACACCAACACCAACACCAACACCAACACCAACACCAACACCAACACCAACACCAACACCAACACCAACACTAACAACAACAACAACAACAACAACAACAACAACAACAACAACAACAACAACAACAACAACAACAACAACAACAACAACAACAACAACAACAACAACAACAACAACAACACCAGCAGCAGCAGCAGCAACAACAACAACAACAACAACAACAACAAAACAGTACACAACAAAACAGTACGTAGCAACAGCAACAGCAAAAGCAACAAAACACTGTCACGCACCACCACGACCACAACCACAAACACATCAGCAGCAACAGCAACACGCAATTACAACTGCATCCAGAGCACCAGCAACCACAGCAAACAAAAAAATAAACATACCAAACGAGCCAGCAGCAGCAACAGCAGTGGCAACACCAGCAACGTCAAAGAGAAACAAAAAACAACCTAAACCACTGTCACCACCACAACCAGTACCAGCCCCAGCAACAAGCAGCGGCAGTCGCAATGCTGCTAACAACAGCAGCAGAAGCAGCACTAGCACTATCAACAGCCGCAACATCCAACGCGACAGCACCAGCAACACCACCACTACAAGCACCCCCGGCAGCAGCACCAGAAACTAAAACTAAGCCTTTTTCTAAACCACAGCAGCAACAAGCAACAAACAATGAACAACATACAGCGACAATGACTCAGTCTCTATTAGGGCTATTAGGGCCCATATTGACGGCTAGATATGTTTTGTTTTGTTACAGAGCGGGAGCAGGTCCCAAGCCACAACTACAACAACAGCAGCAGTAGAAACCGCAACAGCGACAGCAACAAGAAAAACAACGTTCACAGCAACAGCAAAGCCGCAAATGCCTGGCCAAAAGCCGTCTTCTGCCTCTCGAGTGTCTGTGCTTCCACGATGCGAGACTCTTAGAATCCAGTTGCCGGACAGGTTGTTTTAAGCTCAAACAAACAAGCTTGCAGCGACTGAAGAGCTGACCGATGCCTGACCATTCTCCAGCGGTACGCTGCGGTCGCGGTCACCATGGAGGACCAGCAAAGGTGCAGTGCCTCACGAATCGGCAACTGGGCGCGGCCGAGGTGAGGTACTTTCATGTATCGGCAAAGCCATCCCGGTGGGCTAATTATGTGGCTAGTCCAGCTGCGGCAGGTGAACTGCAGGCAGTAAAACGAGTGCATGACAGTAACACAAGCACATGCTCAAGCAGGAGTCTGCCAGCACAGTAACAGGAATCTTTCAACCTGAAACAAACGCGCTCAGATGGGCAGAGTCTTAACTTCCCTAAAGTCCCAGCCCAACAGCCCAGTGGCCAGCAGAAATCGCGGTGGACAAATCCAACTTCAGGAAGTCCTGCCGGCGAAGGGAAATAAACTGTTTGCGTTTCCACTAGGGGATAGGAGACCGGAGTGTGGCACCCAACAATACGAACCAAAGCACCCACCGCTTGTGCACCCGGCGGATCTTGGACATGGTGCTGGGCAAGACTTACAACAATGCTTCTTTTCGGCCATCGCATAAGAACGATTTCTGCATGCACCCTACAACTCGGAACAGCATAAATTCCATTCCGGTCCTTCAGCCCAACACAATCTCGTTTTCAATCTACGTCGCTCTCCGAACGTCTCATACACAACACCAGAACTCCACCTCTACCATCTTTATGCGCTGAGGTGAGCAGCCCTTCGACAACCCTGGTGCCAGCGAGGGACCTGAATGCCTCAACAACTGCCGCCTGATGGGAATAGGAACGAGACTGGGGTGGGTCTCAATGAGGGAGCAATTTGGCAGGGGGTACCCGCCAAAGGATTGCTGCTCGGATTTTGCACAATTGTGACTGTCAAGATGTGCGAGGGTCGCTCTGGAATTTTCTGGAGATGGCACACACCGACTGAGCGGGCCAAAACGACAAGGACTTGCCAATTCAGGTTTAGAAACAGGTATGAGGATTGGCGGAGATGGGATTGTGAAGATTCTGCGGGCAAGTCTAGTCATCAACACGGCCTAGGACCAGGGCAGAAGACAGCTTCGGTACACATGCACACGCATGTGCGTTTGTCGCTGTAGCTTTCGGTATATCGACCGACATGCAAAACAAAGAGAAAACAGGTTGCCGTCTGTTTATGTGCATGTACTCATACACATACAGCTATTCACCATTGTACAACTAGACAACACAACTGCACCCATACGTATCTAGTCTATTCTATTCCATTGTATTCTATTTGTTATTTCATCTTATATTGGAGTATCAGTATACTACACACTATAATCTCATTGCTTACATATATGCATGTGTGTTAAACATACATTCGATCGTTTGCTCAGACAATCTCAGGCATTTCGGGCATTGCATATAGCATCCACAGATCTGCACGGTGTGTAGCCGCACAGAGTCCTCCCGGTAGGCTGCAGCAAGCGGCAAATGGGCCTTCTCCCAGCGTTCGGAGTCCGAGCCCTCCGAGCCGGAGTTGGAGCCAAGCACCTAATCGCGGAGTCAGAAAGTGGCGGGGGAGCCCGAGCGAAGAACCCAAAGAGTTTATTTGCTGTGAATTCCTTTTCACTTGTCACTGTGCATTCCGCTGGGTGCTTCATTTCAGTCGTTTTGCCACGCGCTCGCGTTTGGGGTAGGGCCGGTACCAGCAGGTCACGTTGCGCGAACGCACGCGCAGCCTGCGCTAGGAGCCGGGTGAAGAAAGAAGCGACCTGTGTGGAACCTACTTTTTGCCCTACATCTTTCGTCCAACGATATGATGCATTTCCATGGCCCGCCTTTTTGCTGCGCGGTCGGGTCCTTCCCGAGCAGCTGGGGCTGACCACGTAATTGCAATGCCACGTAGCAAAACATTAGCTTGTGTTCGCGGGCCGAGGACCGTTACAGGGAACAAAACTGGACTATGTTGTGCATTTTCTGGCGGGCCTCACTCACACGATCGCTTCCGCCGAATGCACAGCAAAACCAACACTACCTGGGGCTGACCCGGTACTTGCATAATACTTGTGGGGCACAAAGCATGGGCTCTGAGTCTATGTATCCGTCCATCTATCTACCTGATTACACTAAAAACGGCAGAGCATCTACAAGTCCGGTGGTTCAGTGACGTACGTAACATTCTGTCCTACTACTGTACAGGTAAGATTAGATCAATCTGACAACCACAACAAGTCAGCGTCAAGATTGCGGATTGCGCATACGACTACTCGCAAAAGTCGCGGGGCTCGGGGCCCTACAACTGCGGATGTCTGTCAAAGTCTTAACGGTCTAAACGCTTCATGGGGTCAACAGTTGAAAGCTCGCAAAGAAGCCGGGACGCATTGAACTTGGCTTCAGGTGGATTTGACAGAGATTCACGGGGCAGCCAGAATTCCTTCCAGCATTCACCGTCGCTGTCAAATGCCTGTCACCGCTTTCTGCGCAAAAGCAATTGCAAAACTGTGATGCGATCAAACAACAAGGCCCTTGAAGCGAATGAAGATGCTGGCATCTCGCGGCCTGCTGCTGCACTGTGTCAAAATCGAAGCAGAAGCCTCTCTGGACATTCTTCAGTCCAGCGATAGTGGTGATGGTGATGTCGCCGATAGCGCCAACACCTCTCAGCAAACCTCGTGAAGTTCTTCCAGGATCCCGCAATAATTCAACTGCGATCATGGACAGTCAGTCTGTGACCTATCCCGAGCGCCACGATCATGGCGCAAGGCCTGCACTGTTTTCATGTCTCGCCACTTCTGCTGCTACTACTTCTCCTGCTGCTGCTCCAACTCGTGCTCCTACTCCTACTATTTAATTTAACTACTACCACCACTAATGCCACTCCCACTCCTACTCCTCCTACTACGACTACGACTACTACCGCTGCCGCTACCACTTACCACAACCATAACCACAACAACAACCAGCAGTGTACGGGTCAACCAACAACAACCACAACCAACAACAACCAAACAGCACAACAACAAGGTACACCCGTACGCTGCGTAACAACATCAACAACTACTACAACTACAACTACGACGTAGTTTAAACTACGTCTACTACTACTACTACTAATAATAATAATAATAATACTACTAATACTACTACTACTACTACTACTACTACTACTACTACTACTACTACTACTACTACTACTACTACTACTACTACTACTACTACTACTACTACTACTACGACTACGACTACTACGACTACTACGACTACTACGACTACTACGACTACTACGTCTACTACGACTACTACGTCTACTACCACTACCGCTACTACTACTACTACTACTACTACTACTACTACTACTACTACTACTACTACTGCCACTTCTGCCGCTACTGCTACTACTACTGCTGCTACTGCTACTACTGCCACTTCCACCGCCACCGCGATGAGTGCCACCCCTGTTCCTGTCAAACAGCTCGACGGGCGTGTTGAAGGAGCACTTTCATGATGTTGAAAACGATTTCTGTATCACAGAAGTGCAACTGGCAACGATGGCACCAGTGGAGATGCCGATGACCTTAGGATCGGGAGGGGGTGGCGCAACATGTGGCCACTGGAAGATGAATAAGATACGCGGCGTGGATGGGAAGCCCAGGCCATCTCTCCCGCAAGTAAGATATCATGGCCAGCGTATCGGAGAGTTCTTGGGTGACCTTGGTCCGAGCGTGCCCTGAGAGTGCCGCGTATGCATAGCATGTGCCAACGTATACTGCATCTTTCGTATGAACTTCTGCCGGGTTGCTGTTTTGTCACGGAAAGGGCAGCTCGCATCAGACCCAGGGGTACCAGAAAAGTTGAAGGCCGCGAAAGCTGCCTGGCAGCGCGTCGCAACACAAGCGCATGTCGCGCTGCCATCAGGCGTCTGCTTGACCTGCCTACCCTTCTCGATGATGAGTCCTTCTCAGCATGTGGCACACTCCGGCTAGCAGTAGTTGATGTAAGGTTGCGGTTGACCTCTCCCTAGGTTGAGGGCCGGGTCGAACAAACCTAAACCAGCCGAAAGTCCTCGGAAGGCTAGGTCGTGGAGGCCCAAACAGCCTCGGGACGAGCATCCAGGAGCTGAGCTGCCAATCGCCGAGGCAGTGTGGGCCGTAGTTGGCCGTAGCTGGAGAGCTCCTGCAGGCTCCAGAGCTTCGCAGTTGGATGTAGACTCGGGCTGCTGGCTGAAGGCATGCACTACCTAAGTTAGTTATCGGTGCCTGCGCGGCATTCAACAAGTTTGTTCGTATGATGAATGGGGCTGCCATGCGAATGGCATGGTTCTCGGCACCGGAACCACATCCTTGGGGGTACCTTTTGAAAGGAACCTCGCCAAAGGAGCTACCAAACTGCATGCAGCCAGAGTAGTATCGCAATACTCGTTCACCGAGCTACCTGCGAGCTTGTCACCACGCAGGCAGCTAAAGATTCCTGCGCGGCTTTGTTTCCTGATTATACAGCGGCTTGCACAACGCGTAGCAACTGTGTGTGGGTTGTCCAAAGCGTCACCAATCCTGCAAGTACCTTCCAACGATCATTGGCCGGTGTATTCAGATGTCAACAAAACGTGCATAGCTCATGGAATTCTGACGACACGATCCGCCAAAATTCTTGAGTGAACATGAAGCTTAGACTCCGGTGATGTGGGCGGAGTCTTGCAACGCATCTAGCGCTCAGCACAGCTTGTTGCTTCGTGCACAGCACTGCAGGCCAGCCTTGCGGTGGTCAAGGCTTTGATCTGGGAAGCCGTGAAGATACCTTGGCAGAGAAAAATACACCCAAGCGCTTCAAACAAACAGGCCGGAAAGAGTTGGTTGTATCAACAGTGAATGTCCCAGATCAACTCGAGCTGGGGCGTAACACATTCTTGAATACGGTCGCAAACCCCCGCAAACACGAGGACTCCCAGTATTGCAAGGCTCCTGCTCCTCTGAACTCTGCCCCCCTGCTTCTGTCGGACCGTCATTCGCAGACAAAAGTGGCCCTGTCCGATTCGACAAGCTCGGCAGCCTCGCCATTGTATCAGGGCAGAAGCCTCGAGTAGATCGAAAACCAAACTAATCTGACCCTTTATTGAACGATGTGTGGAAGGACGAGCCGCTTCCACATCATAGCACTTGCAATTCCCAAATCACCCAACGATTTGTTTGCGAGCTGCAGGAAACAGCAAGATGGTTCCACTGCTCTGGGCCAGCAGAGCCAGGCCAGCAAGAAACCCAGACTGTTTGGGACCTGCAAGACCTGCGGCAGGAGAGTTTGAAGTGGGAACGGTGTGAGCTCTGGCTCTGCAATCGGGTGCCTGTTTCTCTATGCACGCATGCACATGTGATTACTGCGAGGTACCATGAGATGATGAGAACATGCTCGTCTGTCTGCATAGCTTCTCGCACGCATCACACACACTATCTTGAATCTTGCAAATGCAATCCATTGACTCAAAAGAAGACTCAACTACAAACTCACACGAGCTGTCTTCATGCCTGCAAGTGTGTCAGCATAATCACGTATAGGATACAAGTCCCGAGTAGGGAACGTTTGAAAAGTATGGAGAATGAAACTTTTGAGGTTCGAAAGTTCGACAGCTTCGTGTTTGGAGCTTAAGGGTCTGAACAGGAATCCAGCTCGAAAGTTTCAAGCTTGAAGCGCCGTGCAACGTGCGAGTGACGTGAGGTGAAGGACAGGCGAAGTCCGCAGCTCACGGAGCAGCCCCCGGGCTCGAGTTTGAGATTTTGAGAGGTCGGAGTTTGAAAGTTTGAAACCCACGGGGTTCGAAAACTTGAGAGTTTGCAATCTCGAAACTTGCCTGAGGGATTGAACTTTCAACCTTCGACAGTTTGACAGTTCCAGACACGGACTTCGAGAGTTCGACATCTTCAAAGGTCGAAGTATGAGAGTTTGAAGGTTTGAAAACTTGAAATTTGTCTGGCTGAACACATTAAAAGCTTGAGTTCGCAAGCGTTTTCATTTTCTGACGTGTGAGCTTGCTTTTTTAGTCGAGGGCCTGGGGTCTGAAGCATCGAGTTGCCAACTTCGCTTGAAGTGAAATGACAGATACCTTCACTGCCACTGGTGTTGAAGTACCTAAATATCCTGGAGTGCTAGCTTAGGCTTTAGGTTCAAGCCTTATGATTTAGGAGAACCCCGAAATCTGCTTCCGTGGAGCCTGACATAGGGGCCTCAGAAGTTAGAACAAGGGCTGCAGTGGCAACGTTCTTTTTGGGGTACAGGCTGAATTCGGTCGCGGAAGATGTGCGATCATCGCCAAAGCCAGGTCAAAAGCCAGAATCGCCCAATGAGGGGGCGGTGCTACGAACTGTGATGAAGGCATCGCCAAATGAGGGGGCAGGCTTGAGAACTCTGATGAACCGGGATCGCCACAGCAGGAAGCGGGTTCAAGAAATGTCACCAAGCGGGATCGCTAAATGCCAGGGGATGGGATTACTGAGGGGGTGGGTTGAAGAACTGTGATGAGTCGGGATCGCAAAAGGAGGGGGCTAGGAAACGTGAAGATCAGAAAAGCGACAGTCTGGATCGCCACATGAAAGGAATCAACCGGGTTTGCCAAAGGAGGGAGCGGGTATAGAATGTGTGAAGAGTTGGAACCACTTTATGGCAGGAGGATTTAAGAAATGTGTGCAACCGATCAATCACGATCCCCAACTGAGGGGGGCGTTGAAGATATGTGATGAACCGCAAGTGCCAAAGGAGGGCACGCCATGGCGTGCGTTTTGGATATGTGATGAAGTGGCATCGCCAAATGAGAGGGCGGGTTTCAGAATGAAGAACCGGAGTCGCCAAAGGAGGAGGAAAGAAACGCGAATCAGGATCACCAAATGACGGGAAAACTTACCGAAATGTGATAAAGCCGGATCACCAAATCTGAAGCCTTTCAGGTTTTGATTCGTCTAACTCGAACTTTCAATCGTTCGAGCTCAAACGTTCAATCTTACAGTCCAACAAATGAATCTGTCGAAGTTTCAAACTCGAATCTTCCGATAACACTGCTCAAACTTTGAGAGACGATCGATCTCTGCCCGGCAACAGTTTGAAGTGTCGAGTTTGAAGGAGCTGGTCGAGCACGAAAGACTGAAAGCTTGAGAGATTGAAAGTTTGAAATAGTAGAATTCGAAAGTTCGAACTTTGACGCCCGCTCGCTTGGGTAGACCAAGGAGTCCACACTTTCGAACTCCAGCGTCCTGGAAACCTTCGAACCTTCAAAGCCTGAAACTTTACACTTTCAAAGCTTGAACCTTTCGAACATCAAAGGCGAACAGAGTTAATTAGAAAAGAAGCTACTAGCACCATTCCAATCGAGCTTGACAGCTCACCGCTCTGCGTGCGTGTTCTTGCCGTGACTGGCCGTGGTTGTGGATGCTACTCGTCTGCTGCGTGCCTTCGTGTCTGGTAGCTGATTCGCAGGCCTGTTCTTTCTTGGTGCGTATTGGTGGACGACGTGTCTTCGACAAAGCAACCGGTAGCAAGGGACACAAATTAGAGAATTAGAGTGTGACTGTGAACAGAGATAGGCTCCCTTCAAGACCTTTCTGCTAAGCTACGGCACAACACAAGGGTCCCGAATGGTTGAGCTTTGAAGGATTCCTCGTCGGGGTTCCTGCGAAGAGCACATCTTCCCTCACGAAGAGCACATCAGGCGTATTGGTGCGTGAAGCTATTTCCGAGTCCGTGTGCCTTTGCATCTTGGGGTCCGCGCCTCTTCCCGAGTCCTTCTGTAGACATGGCACGGAACCGAGAGCTCATCCCAACCTTAGCTTCTGGCCTACAAGCCCAAACAGAACACAGCACTTATAATGCATGTATGGTGTGCGATGTGTTGCCCTAAACGTCTTACTTTGTCACCTCAGTGTCCAAGAATCGAAGGCGTGCCCGGCACTCAGAGTGGCCTCAGGCATCAAACAGAAGCCCCAGCTTCAAGTTTCAGGACCCAACGCAGGCTCCCTATCACCATACAAACGGCCTGGGCGCCAGGTCATTGCCGTGAAACCGAAGGCCAGCCAAGACGGTCTAGGGAGACCTGGCTCCACAGACGTGAACCATGTCTCAATCCGGTTATATTCTTCAGCCAATTAGGAAACACACACGAGCTCACCAAGAAACAGGCGGACTTGTGTTTGCATCTGCTGGTTTGATAGAAGTCTGCAGCATCTTTTTTGGCATCGGTCTTGTACAATTATGAACTTTTTTCAAGGTGATAGGAATATCGGCTTGAACCTCATTCTTGTAGAAGACGTTTGTGGTTTGACTGCCTGTCGGGCCCTCCGGGCCTCCTGCTTCGGCAGGCGCAGCGGTTTCCGGGCAAGACGCCGCGAGGAAGAAACTCTGGGGAGCGACCCGGCTGCGATGCGGAAGCACGAGCTGCATCAATAGGCTGGGTCTATTATGTACACATGGACATGTACATGCATGGAAGGAATGATCTACAGGGATAACTTGTATAGTTCTTACTGAATTCTCCGAGCAGAGCGAATGCTTCTCGTGTGAAATTGTAGCATTAAGAAGTCTTGCGGCCGAGGTGCAGAAGAAACCCTTATTATGACATGATGTGTCGTGTGCCGTCCGTTCGAACCATTGCTACATTAAGTTAAAGGCAAGCTACATGGAGCGGTTGTATGTTTGGTTTGCCTCTTGGATCTCTCTCTCTCTCTCTCTCTTACTCTCTCTGCTTTGCTGGGGCCGAGAGCGACCGACAGTTTCGGTCGCCCGCGGGCTGGGTGGTTGCTGCCGGAGATTGCCTTCAAAATAAGCACATGGTCGAGGAAACCTCCGTGAGTACCTTCTCACGAGCGCCACCAAGTGCCTCGAAAGCTGCCAAAAACACCATGAAACCAGGAAGCGGCCATTGCTTGCCTGATGCAAGCAAGCTTTTTAACAGTACTAATATTGGCGATAGGCGCTGCCATGCGTTGCCGCGAGCAGCCAAACGTTGCAACCACTGGGAGGGCAGTAACTTTGGGCTTGGATGCGGTGGTCATGGCTTGCATTTTCTTGGGAGGGGAAATGCTTTATCCCGGCGAAGATCGGATTGCACACGACTGCAGCAGCACCAACACAGGTTCCTGTAACACCGTAGACGGTATCGGCTTATAGGACCTGCAAAGCTGGCTTTTCAGGAATCTCTTCTGGTTACCGGACGGCATGTGCGAAACCCTCAATGTGCCCAAAGCATGCGACGATTGCAGGCAAGCCCCGAATGCTGAAACCGCGCATGAACAGCCGACCGGAAAGCATAAATAAATTGTAACTTGGGGCAGCTCTTTGCGTGGAACGAGATGCGGGTCATTTGTGTCCATGGTGCGCCTCTCAATCATGCTTTGCCATGTTGCAAACACCTCGTGAGCTGAATCCCAGAATTTCGGCATGTTTGGCAATTCGTGCTGCGCCTGCTCGGATTCTCCTGCCGATGGTGCATCCCCCCCATCCGTCTTCTTCCGTGCAAATATCCACCGACTAGGCGTCTATGGAGCCAGTGTGCTCAATAACATTGTAGCTGCTCCCTTGCACATTCCTGAGCTGCCCGCGATTTCGCACCGCACCAGCGGTGCGGGGCGACATGTCTTTGTGTCGGCTCCTTTCCTCCCTGCTACAGGCGGAATAGGACGAGGCTTTTGACGCTCGCACTCGCACAAGGCAAGCCTCCACATAGTCCACAGAATCTCCGGTACTAGCATCATAGCAGTCACCATCTCGGAATAGTTAACAGATGAATACAAATGACATATATACTAAACAACAGGGACAGCTCGCTGAAGAACACTATCCGATGATGCCTGTTTGAGGGTGCCACTGTTCGATACATGGGTCCCTCACCATGCTGTTTAGCATTATAGCACTATACTCCAACGCTCGTCATGAGCCAGCAAATTCTAAGACCACCACGTGTTCAGCCACTCATCGCCCTCATTGCTGTACGACCGTCCCATTAGCAGCAAAACGCCGACTTGAGGTCAGTGCGTTACCGACTTCATGAGTTAAAGAATCTTGCATCACAAAGAATTTTCAACAAGCCTCTGAATTCGTGAACTCACTCAACATGCAGATCACGCCAACCCACGCAGCCAATTCATGAATTCAATGGGCCTCTTCACCAGGACCACTGAATTCACGAGTTCTTATGCCATGAAGCTCACTGTGTAGCGGCTCCCAGATTCACATCTTTGTAACCAGTGACCACAAAACAGTTCACAGTGTCAAATTTTCAATTCTCGTTCATGCAGAACCCCAAGAATGACACTGTCGAGAATCCATTATGTCAAGGCGATAATGAATTCAGACAGAGCAGAGCCACTTTCACAGCCCGCAGATCCGTGAGGCTTGTTCACCACCAATCATCCATGGAGCGTCATGGCATCATCCACTGCTAGATCCGACTGTTGGCACTCGTGGTGTCGGCTGGGCATCCAGTGGTAGTGTGTCTGGCTCAAGCCATTTCCAACCTATGTTGGATTGTGTGAGTGACTGCCGTCGGGATTCCACGTGCTGAATCCATCAGCATGTGCAGCAGCTCTCTGCGCTCGTCGTCCGGTGGAGTTCGTACGACTGTACATCCGCGAGGCGTTCGCTCAGTACATCTTCCACTGCCGCAGTCCAAGCCGCATCCACTCCATTATACTTATACTCATTGTTGCACTCCCCAATCCGCCTGATCAGTGACATCCTTCAGCAGCCGTACAGCTTCAGGCTCACTCAGGGGTGTCAGCGCTGGCCCCTGGTCCTGTGCAGCAGTGCCACGCCCCCGGCTACGCGAGCGTGCTCGTGCACCCTGACGATCCTGTCCCCCAGTGTGGAGCGAGGGTTCGGGCTAACGCAGGTTTACTCCCAACAAGATGCCTTTGATACTGGACCTGAACGTGCAGAGACCACATGAAAGGACAGAGGGGCTTGAGCCAAAATTGCTATAAGGTTTTGGATTCCCTCGCTCTCGCTCTCTCTCTGTCCGTCTGCCTCTCCGCTTCGTCCAGAGTCTTAAACAGCAACTCATAGCTTAAATCCAACACCGAGTGCTGATCATCACCAGGAGCCTTGCAACACGACCTCGCAAGGGGGCGGAATTGGAACATCAAAAACAGTGTAGAATAATCAACAGCTCAAGACCTATTTACAATGTGGATCGAGACGTGTTTTCCCGAGTGGAGCTTGCCCTGCTTGTTTTAAGACTTCTGGCGAGTTATATACGTTTTTCTGATACTTGGCATAAGCCCCAATCCATCCATTGCAACATCTTCTTCGGAATGTTTTCATTCCGCATGATGCGGGCGACGAAATTGGCGGCGAAAGTGTCGGACGTGGTCTCTGTCCGAGATCCCAAGTCTTTCGGATGAGAAGCGACGGCCCTTTACCCAGCAGGTCCTTCCCTCTTTGCTCCGCTATACAGCTGTCTGACGGTGACGCTGCCGTACAGTACCATAACTATGGAGCTGCTGCCAGTTCAGCAGCCACACTGCTGCTCGCCGTTCGAACAAAATCCCAAATCAAGCTCGCACACTCAAAGTTAGTCTTGGCTACGTCTCAGATCAAGACTGCACAGACATGGAGGAAGAGTCGTCATGAGATCTGTTCTGATGTGCAGAGTCATTGAAGACGACAACACAATGAATACGCTTCTCACTCCAGGTTTACCACATCGCTTCGGTCTTCCTCCACATCCGAGAACTCGAGAACCACTCTCAAAACTTGCCTCGCACTGCCCACGGAGCTTCGCTCTGCTGGGGCCATTGCCAAGCTGCTGGCCAGCTCACAGGGTGCTGGTCTGATGCCTCCGGCGCAAGCTCCGCAACCCGTGCGTGCACTCCAAACGTTCGCACATGGAAGCCTCTGATGTACGTTTGCCTCGGCCCCGGCAAAAGCGGTCAGAGTTTGTTTTACAGGGATCCCTCAACCTCCGCCTATCCCCCCACCCTCTCCTTCCTTCCTCCGGACCCGTTCACTGGTTCCAGGACTATAGGTGGCGAAGATTTCCGTCCTCCAATTTAGGAGGCAGGTGCGCAAGGATTTGCGCCCTCCCCCCTTCCCCTGGAGAAACGCAAGCCGAGCAATTCGTCGGCCCTCTTCACTTGCGGCCGGGCCGGGGCGGACGACGCAAAACGTTAACATCCAACAACAACTTTGCTGATGTCAGAACGCCTGCATCTTGACTTTCGAGATGCCGTGAACCCGAAGATGGCAGCTGCAGCCGGCTAGTATCGTCCTCTGCCCCCGCCGCCGCGGGGACCCCCTGGTCGACTCACGGCCAACTCCTGCATGCTGTCCCATATGCGCCACTCAAAGAGCCGAACCCAAACCCAAACTATGCCAAGCATGGCGGCATGTGTGTGTGTGTGTGTGTGTTACAAATCTACCAGAGTATCCTCCAGCCACTCCGGCACGTCAGAGGCATCTGGGTCGTCCTGTTCGGCTGCCGCACATGAAACGGTTGCAAGTGACGGCATCAAGTTGAAGGCCTAGGCTGAGCCCAAGCCCCCACTGGCCGGACCTTCTTCGCATCCTTCATGTGTTGGACAATCATCTTCAGATTCGTCGCGTTGTCGTCTGGCAAAGGGGCAGGGCGCATCATCCAGAAAGCTGCCACATCCGACTCGGACAACTGCAATCGCGTGCAAGATCCATCTGCGCAGTGGCCCCTGTCACGACTGAGGAGGACCTGCTAAAGCATGGGTTGTACACTCTATGCCTCATTATCTTGTGCCGTCGCGGCACAGTTCGACACGAAAGATGTGGCCAGGCCCTTGTTGCCGATGCGCCCTGTCCTGCCCGTGGCTGATCATGAGACATAACTCGTCCATTAATTAAGCTGACGCGAAACGGAGAGGTGCAATCACATCGCAGTGCCCGGCACTGAATGCGACGAAGCGATCGGTGCTGACACGGGCAAAAGGGATCATACGTCGTGCTGTGGAATGCTTTCAAGCCCGCTGTCCGCCCGATGCGATGGACGTAGGTGTCGCCTCACAATCTCCGCATTGCTCAAGTCGGAACTCTGACTGGCCTATGAATCTATGAGTCATAGCCCTCCCACTCGCACCGTCTTGTGGCAGATCGTAGTTGATCACGTGCTCGATTCCAGGCACATCAAGTCCTCGTGCCGCGACGTCGGTAGCCTGGCCGTTTCCGAGACAAGACCAGAAAGGGGGTCCCGGGAAAAGCCGATCTTCAGATCTGCCAAGTTGCGACCAGCACGTCGAGTATGCCCTTCTTGAGCAGGGTCAGATTTCGAGTTCTGGCCGCCTGTGTGAGTCCTGCACAGAGATCTCCTTGTCTCCAGAAAGCTCAAACTTTCTTCCACTCTTTCTCTTATGCCGCCTCCATGTAGGGGCTCCGCTTTGACGCCGCCGTCGTTCAAAATCCAGGCTATGTCGTCGCAGGTGTTCTGGGCGGGGCACTTCAAAGTTTTGCTGAGAATGATGATTCTATTGGACCCCTGAAATACCAGACATTCCTCTCTACCACGGCCTTCGTGTTTGCGAACACGAGTGTTTTTCCCAGCTCGCCATTCTCGTTCTTCGCCTGGGCGGCAGGACTAATGGAAGCAGCAACTACACACGCCGGTTTGAACTCGAGATGGCTTCCGCCGTGATCACTTTGGCTGAACCACAGCCAACACATTCACGAACGTGGCCAAGCCTGATTCAGCAAATCCAGCAGCCTGTCGTTCTTCTCCCGGAAATTGACCTGACTCAACCGGTCGGTCGGGTTTCTTGTGCATTCCTGCTCTATGGCCAGCGGCAAAATCGGCCGAAGGTGTCTGGAGCGAGACTCTGCGCCGGACATCGTTAACTACTGGGGCAGTGTCCGTGCTGGCCTGAACTCCTGATGACGCATGTCGTTGACTCGTGGAAGAATTCGGTGAAGGTGTTGCAGGCAACTCCCACAAGTTTCGCAATTTCATATCTCAGCCCCAGGCCTGCTCGAAGCACTGCTCCACATCCGTCGCTGCGTGGCCCACCTGCTCAAAGACCCATCGCGCATCGCGTTTCGGGCGTCGCTGGCTACTTAGGAGATTGTGGGAGATGTACGGCCGTCTGCCAGGTTCCGACCGGGGACACCGCAGGCAGCTCTCAGCTGATTTCCTTTTGGAGCAGGGACTGCAATGCACTATCTTCAGCCAAGCTTCAAACGCCAGCACTGGTTTCTTCAACCCGATGTTTCAGAGCAGTTCCCCAAACTCTAAATGCAGGGATGCTTGTGCAGAATCCAGACTCTCAGCAGCTCTCAGCTGTTCTTGCTGTTGACTTGTGCTTTTTGGAGCCCTGACCTGAACAGGATGACACGCACAAAACCGAGCAGTGCCGTCGAAGCATGGCCGCTGCGCAAGGTGACACATTTGCCATGGATATCATGGCTCGAGCCCTATGAACGGCGAGACGAAGTGCGAAAGGTTCGTTTGCATTGGAGCTCGGCAGAGGGTTGGGGATGAGGGTTTGAAGATTAATGGTTTTGGGGTTGTGAGCCTGGAGTCCCTTCGTCATCATGAGTTCTAGCTACAATCATCTAGATGACGTTCCACATCAATTTCGTCAGAGGCTCCAAGACTCGCCTCATCCAAGTCATTGTTCACTCGTCACTGAATCACCCACCTCAACCCGTACCCCCTCAAAACCAATAGGTTATGAGCCCCATCCAGCAACAACAATAACAGCAACAAACAAATCCACAGCAGGAGCAAACATCGGCAGCAGCATCGACTAACATCCGTTTCAGACAAATGCAGCAGCTGGCAACACCGGCACAATGTCCTGGATGATGTCACTTCAGGATCGCACGCCAGCGCATGATGAGTCAGCTTGGCCAGTTGACGACAACCATGCAGGAGCATCAGAGAGTGATAGACGCAGCACACACAGATCAAATCAAAGACTGGGAGCAAGTACGTTCTCAACTTGAGGGTCACGCACAACGTCCTGCAAGTATGCGAATGGAAGTGAATCACAGCGTCAACTTGAGTGTGCAGAGCGATGCTCAGATGGCAGCTCGTATGGAAACACTGGAAAACAAGTTCGCAGAGCTTGAGGTGCATATACAAACATTTGGCCAGCGGTCAAGGGAAACATCCAATGACATCATGCAGCTCCGATCTGAGTTTGGGCGAGTGTATAAGCTGGAGGATTCGGTACAGCGCCCACAAGGATGGGCACCGTTCAGAAGTTAGCAAGCATACAGCAGCAACTTGATGATGCAAATGCCCATGCGGAGCCCCAACCGTCAGGTCCCGAGGTGTATTGTGGAAGATGGGCCGCATGTGCGCCTGGGGACCTTGGGACGCAGTTGTTGACAGTGGAGCAAATGAGATTCTTCGACAAGCCCAGACACTGCCATCGAGAGCAGCTGTTCCTCCTACCTTGACCCCAGCAGATAACACAGCAATCTCAGCAGCGAGAACGCGAGAGGGCGAAGTGGTCGTCAAGGAAAGTGGGAAAGAGGCTATTCTAGGTTTGTGTAGGTTGGCTGCGATTGGGTGTAGGTTCACTTGGGATGAATTTGGAGCCGTATTACACATTCCGGGGTGTTGCCAGTTGCAGACCATCCGACTCACGATTGACAACATGCCTTACCATGCTTGATTTGGAGCGCGAAGAGCAGCTTCCTAGAGAGTTACTTGAGAAAGGAGTGGGCCACATTACATGCCAGTCAGTTCTTGGGTTGATTGAAGACACGAACTTGCAGCCGCAGAGAGTGCGACGCACTGGGGTGGTACATGGATCAGAAGAAACACACATGAACGTATGGACGTTTGGCATGTGGACACATGGGGGCAAGCATGGCTTGACACAGATGTGTCGAAAGAGGCCAGCACTCGCTCAAGTATCATGTGCATTGATGAGGCGTCTTGATCCGGAGCTAATCTTCTCGACGCTGACCATAACGAGAAACGTGGCTGTTAAAACACGTCGAGATACTCACAACCTATCAGTGCAGGGAAGGAAGATGCAGCTTTCTGATTGAATTCCCGGCGGCAGTGCGAGGGAGGGGAGCTCTGGATCGAGAACAAGGAGGGGCGATGTGTGCGACGAGCTGCCGCAACTGTAGCGTTGAGTGGGAATGTTCACGATGTATGTCGACGGTTGATAAAGTTCTCGCCAAAACTCTATCATGGGACGGAAACTTGGGAAGGGACGCGGACGATGCTCATTGCATATGCTGTGCCAGGAAGCAAGTCTCTACAGATGCAGGGTGCAGATCGTCATGAGGCTTTGACCCTGGGATTTCCACTTCGAGACTTCGAAGGAGTTGGGGAATGATGACTTCTATTCAGGGTCTTCAGGGAGGCTCAGGCGAAACTCAGGGTCCTCAGAACGATGGGAATTTCGGGGAAGGGATTTGCTTGGAGCCTTTGGTGGTGAAGTTGTAGACATTCCTGATGCAGAAGCACCCTGCAGACTGATATCATCCCCAGGGCTCATCACTGTCTGAGGCAACTGCTGATGCGGACTTGTGGCGGCGCATGCATGCGCACTTGAGCAACTCCTCAAGAAGAAGTGTGTCATTCCGCCGGACGGTATGACCAGGACTGCGAAAATAATGTTCACGCCCGATGGGCAATCAGGCCTCACCGAAGCATCAGCGACGGCAGCAAATCCTATGCTAATCTGGCAGATAAGGGGAAATACAGTGTGAACGGTGTGTACCTCATGCCAAGCGGAAAGAACCTTTACTAAGCGGGCCCACAAAAACCAAGCATGCGAGTACAGTTGCCGAGGTCACAGTGAGGATTGTGGTGCAGTTAGCATCACGTCAGGTTCCTCCATTCTTCAGGCTGCAGGCAGACCGTGGCCGAGAGTTTGAAGCACAGTTGTTCAAGGAGCTTGGAATCCGATTCCCCACTTTCCACACCCAGTCGGTACCTTGCAATCCTTGATCAAGCGGTCGAGTCGAAAGAGGAGTGCAAGCGCTCAAACAGGCGGCCATCAGGGAGTAGGTTCACTCAGCTTTGGGTCTGACGTATTGGACGTATGTGGTGCAAAACGCTGCATTGTACTCTCGGATGAAGGCCACTGGTATTCCAGTTACTAAGGGCACCCCAAAGATGGGGGATTGGGCGGCCTTAAACGGCCTGACGCTGGTGACTTCGAGGGAGGGCCAACTGCGAGGTGTTCATTGGTCACAACGTGAGTAGCGTACATGGCTCAAGGATTCTGTGTATGGTCAAAGGCGGGTTGAAGATGATCAGAGCGCAACTTCCCGTCTTGCTTCATCACCCAGCTGTTACTTGGAAGTGTCAGTGGATCCAGATAGAGACCGCCAGGTTTGGGTAGGCAGTAACGGTCAAGTTGTATGGCGCCAGGACGCACCATCCGGCATTCTCACTGTGGAGGAGAGGCTTCACGGTCCGGACGGTAACCCTGAGAACATGGAAAGGATCATTAAACGGCGAGCAATTGCTGGAGCTATTCGCCACATTTGGCCACAGCCTCTTGTCTGACAGAGGACATAAGTCCAGATCCAGAAACCATTGGACAAGCTGTCAGCGATCACAGCCCAAGGCTATCGTAGTTGCAGCGCAGCCAGCAGATGAGGAAGGGAAGAGCGGAAAGTACCACATAGCCACCTTTCAGGAGAAGCAACACCAGGCCACCGGGATCAAGATGACAAATGATGTTTCAAGACCGGCTCCGAGGCTGAGATCCACAAGTGGGTGGATGCAGCCAAGGAGGAATTGAGCAACGCAGGTGTGGACGCAAAGCCCATGGAGCACATGGCGTCAGGACTTGGGTTTGAGTGACACCGACGAGCTCCCCGAAATCAAACCTTCAAAACTCGTGAGTGTACGCAAACCTGTCATGGAGGAAGACATCAAGAACAACGCGGAGTCAGCGAAACAGCCTGCCAAGCTAAAATTCTTGGAAGGCTCGCATTAGGATTGCTGGGTGAGGAAACTTCGAGGATACATCAGTGCATACAAAGGAAGAGTATGCATCCTGCAACATCCAGTTCCCGGGGGCACTCTATGGATTTTGGGTCGAGCATCATACGCACTCAGACAGTCTCCCGTGGAAGCGGAACGGGATGAAGCGATCACGAATCTCGATCATTCTTGACCCGACGAAGGACGATGAGCATGGTGTCATGGCTTTTTAAATGCAAGGGTCTGTGGAAAGTTCTTGACAGCGGTACTGGAGTGTGGCCTGGTATAGCCACAGCATATGTAGACGATGGGTGGGTGATTGGAGACGCCGAAACTTTGCGAAGAACAGCCATTGGGATGAACTCAGGAAGGTCAGGCTACAGGGCGTTCTGCGACATCCGACCTGTCCCATTAAGGCTTCCTTGGTGTATCTGCTGTGTCGGATTCAAAGACTTGGAGATGGTACTGTCCAAGTCACACAGCGTAAGTGGATCCTTCAATCATTGGCTTCCACCGGGCTACGTGCACATGAATGGCACGAAGAGCGTTCCAGATCCATGTGAGGGAACATTGGCACCAGAGCCACAAGATGAGGAGTACCAGAAGTGGGTCAAACAGGGACAAAGTGAAGTCGGGTCCTTGATGCGGGTTGGACTTTGCAGCCGTCCGGACATCATGTCCGCGGTGGGAGCGGCAGCAAGCTTTAATTTGGTTAATTATAACAACCGTAACAACCCAACCGAAACATTGAGATTGACCAAAGGGCTATGGCGCTTTCTCAAACCGATGCTTGTAGCACAAACCGCTGAAGGCAAACAACGACATCCACATTCACACAGATGCTATAGCTATGCCAATGGGGGCAGCCAGTCACGAACAGCTCTCAACAAGGCAAGCGCTGACTGCATGGAGTGCAACAGAAGCTGAGCTGGAGCTGGAGGGCATGGCAAGAGAAGGGCTGGCGCGTGAAGTTGTTGTTAGAGCAGATGTTGAACAGGCCTTTGAAGAGCATCTTGCATGGCGACAATAGTGGCGCCATCACGCTGAGCGCCAGAGAAACTTGAAACTTTCTCTGAGCTGGTCATGCGAACCCGGAACTTTGCTATCAGAACCAGCTGGATTCGGGAGACGGTAGTTCATGAGGGTATCGAGGTCGTGCATACGGGAACGAGCGAGATCAAAGGCGACATCCTTACAAAGAGCTTGAGTTACCGAAAGCCGGAAAGTGCATACGAGTTATTGCGAGTTGCTAGGCCTAGGAACCTGGAGCTAGGAGTAGGTGAGATGATCCTGCATCCGACGATGCGGTGATCAGTGCTCTCAAGGGTTTTGTCTTTTGCGCAGACCATTGATTAGCACCATCGCTTAGCCGCGACGTCATCATTTCCTGTTCAGTATGACCCAGCAGATTGTGCCCCCGCGCACGCATGCGGAGGAGGAGTGTTGTTGAATTGTGCTTTTGGAGCCCTGACCTGAACAGGATAACACGCAGCAAACCGAGCAGTGCCGTCGAAGCATGGCCCCTGCGCAAGGTGACATGTTTGCCATGGATATCATGGTCAAGCCGTATGAACGGCGAGACGAAGTGCAAGTCCCTTCGTTATCATGCATTCTAATTACAATCATCTAGATGACGTTCCACATCAACTTCGTCAGAGGCTCCAAGGTTCAGCCCATCCAAGTCATTATTCACCCGTCACTGAATCATCACCTCAACCCTTAACCTTAACCCCTCATAACCAACAGTTCTCTTCAACCAATTCTTCTAAGGCGGTTCCGCAGATGCAGTCAATCAAGCACACGAACACTGCCAGCAGCACACTCACTAGTGGTTGATGCTCCAGACGGTCATGATGAGCGGATATGATATCCGCATTGCCAGCTGTGGCAGGAATCGGCAGGAACAGACTCAGTCAGGAACACATGTTGTATGTTGTCACCTGCTACAGCAAAATCACCGGCAACACCAACGACTAAAACATGCCGTCACGTCGACGCCACCAACACCATCATCACACCTTACACCCATGCCTGCGCCTGGTCTCACCAATGAAACAGTAATGAACCGGCGACAAGTCTCGCACCTGGCCAACCTTAATGCCGTAGTAGGCCGGGTCGAGGAAGTCCAAGGCCATGTCTTGCATCTCCTGTAGGCGGTCGAGAACTCCTTCTCATCCCTCCGAGCTTTGGCGGGATCACACCACTGAATACCCGAAGCAACGTCATGCTGAGCCTGAGGGAATGTGGCCGAGAACATCATGGTCTGGCGCCCGCCCTCCGAAGGAGCTTGGAGCTTGAGCTTGGGGTCGTTGCTTCCTTTGCTTTGCTCACTCTGCATGTGCCTGCTCACGGGCAAGTGGGCGACTCAAACTCACGTCAGCATCGCATCATCTCAGTGTGATCTTCACCATCTACGGAGTTTGCTGCACGCGGTTGGCTTGTGAAGATGGCCTGCAGGGCCCTTGATTGGGCCGCCCGTTACGGACGCTCTTTCTAGCAACCGGCGAGAGAGGATCTTGATACTGCCCATGCAGATGATGTCCTGTTCGTATCTCGACTCGTCGGAGGGGTGCCTCGCCGGGCTCTGGCATGCCATAGTTTTCAATGATGTTTCCTCAGGTCCGATGCGATTCTGGCTCGTGAGTGCCAAAGCTTCTGCTCTTTTTGTGCTTCGATTCTAACTAACTCTCCGACATCCCTTGAAGTCAAGACGAGCCCTCGCTTTGCCACCTTGTCCTCCCAGCTACTTGCCAGAGGTGTCCCTGCTCTAGCCGCAAGAAGTCGAATTCCTACTATGATCGTCTCGTCTCCCTCAGCAGGAAGCTCCACTGGGACTTGATTGACCCAGCGGCGAATCTGCGGCTCAAAGCCCATGTCCAACATTCTGTCTGCTTCATCTACCACCAGGAACCTGCACGTACGAGTAAACTGTTGGCTTCGGCAAATCCACAAAGGTATGTCCCCGAACTGCCTGCTTCACGAAGTTGCACCAAGGTCAAATTCCGGAACAGTGTGTGCAAACACATCCCAAAACTGAGCATTCGATCCATATAAGAGGAGGTCTTGGCATTCTACAGGCGACTGGGTGTGTAAGATTCTCGGACTTGCCGTGGCTGGTGTTCGAGGACATCTTATGGACTCTATGGGCTGCATGCAGCTCGGCCACTTCACTTCCTCCATGCTGACGACCTGGCACGGCTTCTACAAACGAGGCAGGCGCCAGTCGAAAACTCGTGGCCGACAGCGCCTATACACCGTAATTGGCCCCGGCATGAATATCTGATTTCCTGCAACCGTGGTGCAAACAGGCCTAAGTCCAGTACGGACTCTGTGGATCGTGCAAGACAGCTCTGAACTCAATCCGTGCTCGTCTCTCTGCCTCTGTCACCGCCCAGTAAAAATGTGCACCGGTCCGGTGTGGCCCATCGCGCAATACGATGTTTTGCTTAAGACCTGAAGGATATTCCCAGTCCTGGCTTGTGAACTGCAGGAAGTGTAGTGGTTCTTGCAGCTACCATTGCAAGTCTAAGTGAGAATGTTTCAAGCAGAGTCGCGCCACGCTGCAGGAAGTCGTCCATGCGACCCGGTGAACAAACGACAATCTCCTGCAAGCGAGACCCGAGAACGGGAGCTGAGGAAGCTCAGGAAGGAGGTCTATGTCACGCCTCCTGCAAGCAATGATGTAAATCCCGTCCATTATTTCGACAGCTTTGTCCAAGCATGGCACCCACTAGCAAATGGACGCTTCTACAATTTACAATATGGAACCACAACGTCTCGGAGTCTCGGAGGTTTTCGGCCCCCAAATCGTGTTGAAGCCCATAGATGGGTGTCACGCAGGTCCCTCATGGTCACTCCATGAAGTCGGGTGGCCACACCGCCCGCTATGTCGCGCAGCTGCTGGAGGGCATCAGCGCCTCTTCTGGCTGATGGATAAGGGTGGTGTCCCTTTATTGTCGAACTTGGCAATTCGGTGCTTCGCCGCACTGGACTTCCGAATCAGTCGTGTTCGTCCAAGAGTTGGAGGACCTGTGTGGGAAAGACTGATCGCATATCTTAAGCACACTGCCCTCGTGGACAGTGTGAGGAAGTGTTTACGGACGCGGGCTGGTCAGACTTCGGAGGTATCTTCGGCTGATTTGGCCCGCTATAGAAGCGAGAAGCACCCACACACGAAGTCTAGCCTCCATAAATGGCAGCCACACGGGCGAAACTTCTGAATGTCAGCCGCTTGGCCTCGGTTAGCGCTTTTCCAGTAAAGTCGAAACCTGCACTTTCGGTCCATCCTATAGCTGCAGATACACTGTGCCTCTTGACGGACTTGACGGATTTGACGGATTCTCCCCACCTCGGAGCCTTGCAGTGGTATCAACCGCTCAGACTGTAAGTATCAGTTGACCGCCCGAAGCGATTGCCAGCGGCACTGAACCTCCAAAGCCTGGGCCCTGTAAAGCTTAAACTGTTCGCTCTCTCGTTTTTGCTGTAGCAGCTGAGCAGCTTCTTGGGCAATCTGCTCACACAGCTCTCCTTGCTGAAGCTGATTGGATGGGACAGGTCCCCCGCAAGAAAAAAAGTTTTTGCGGTTTTATTAAACTACTGCGAATAAGCGAGTATAGTTATGGAAAGGTCAAATTCACGCAAATTCCTGTACTGGTCATGGCGAAGATGGCAGTGGTAGTGCTGCATGCAATTGCACACTTCGTAGACAGTGCTCCCCTATTGGTTCTTAGCTTAAACTATTTCCAATGGGTCGAAAGCAATCTGTATGAAACACACGCTGCACGGGCATGTGCCCGACTACTACGACGAAAACGAGACGGCTAATACGACTGTAACTACTGTGGCGGTAGCCACTGCAACAGCAACAGTGACAGCAACAACAACAACAACAACAACAACAACGGCAACGGCAGCAGCAGCAACCCCGAATCCACAGCCCTAACCATCACGACCACGACGACAAACACGACCACGACAACAACAACACCAGCAGCAGCACCAACAACAACCAACAACAACAACACCACAACCACAACAACAAGAAGCACCAGAACCAAGGTACAAACAAAAACTGCAGCCCGGACTGTTCATGAGACCTACTGTTGAGGGTTCAAGCTGGAAGCTGGAAGTGCTTCTATGTCAAGGTTTGAGTAGTAAAGGGGTGGAAAGCCCCGTAATACCACCAAACATCTAAGCAACAACCTGAGCCAGAAGGACGCAAGTGGCGGTTGACCATCATCAAGCCAGTATATTTCTTAGTGCCCTGATTGCTCGTGTATGGGAACTCATAAATTAGTAACTGGTGTCCCGACTATACATATTCATATCTATATATATATATATATACACATATCTTGAGGCATATCTGCAACAGAGATTTTACAAGAACGGGAATTTGAACCCGCTAGTGGAATGCTAAACCCGTGCCGCACGGCGCAAAAGCACACCCTGTCATACGGATGTTCCGTACTGGTTCATAACCGCCCACCCCACACTGTCAAAGTAACATGCCGACACGGGACCTGGTGGAAAAATTGCCTTCTGATGCACAAAACATAAGTAAACACAACGCGCGGGAGCAGTGAAGAGGTGCACAAAACACTATAGAAACCATAGGATCGGACCTCCTCGGAATAGTTGTCTTCAGCAAACAAGCAAAAGCAACGTAAATACCGTGTGTTTCGCCTCTTGACGCGAAAAAACCCACGTAAATAGCACCTTCCAGCTACGGTCTGCACGGAAAGCTAACAGGCAGAAGCAATCCGCCGGTGTAGAAAACACTGTAAATACCATAGGATTCGGCAGACAATTACCCCCCCCCCTCACCCCCCAACCCCACCGCCGTGGAATAGCAGACCCTGCGCGGCGGCGAGAAGCGTACGTGCCAACTCAACAACAAGAAGAATGATTACAGCAACAAGAAGAAGAACAACAACCACAAGCACAACAACCACAACAACAGCAACACCAACACCAGCACCATCACCAGCAGCAGCAGCAGCACCACCACCAACAACAACACCACCAACAACAGGTCACCACCAAAACCAGCACCAACAAAGCCAACAATGCCAACAACATCAACACACCAATAACACCAACAACACCCACGCCACAAGCAACAACAAGGACCACGACGACGACCAGCAACAAGGAGAACAATAACAAGAACAACAACGACTAGAAGAATAACAAGGTACAAAGGCAGAGACAAAAACAGGAGCCGTGTCATGTTGTTCCCCCACAACAACAACAGCAGCAAAAACAAAAATAACACTAACAAGAACAACCAAAGACAACGAGAACAACAAGAACAATAGCAACACCAACAACAACAACCAACCACCAGGTGGATTTTCTATGGATTTCCAAGGATTCAATTGGGATTTTGCAGATTCGTGAAAATTCCAATAAGCTTGTGAACGACAAGAATGATTTTCAAGGCATTTCCAAGGACTCGGTGTATCAAGGCGTGTACAGTAGGTGTCCAGGGTTCACGGGTGTCCAGGCTTAAGACTTTGCTGTCTTCTGAGATTCTGCACCCTTCAAAACCCCATTCAAAATCCCGTTGAAGCCCTTCAACATCACATAAAACCCTTCAAATCCCTCCAAATACCCTTACGAATACCCTTTACAGTTCGCCCTGGAGTGGAAACATGGTGTAAAGTGGGCGGTTGTTGTAAAAGGGGGGGGGGGGTCGAAACAACAAACAGGGCTCCAGTTTTTGTCTCCACAGGCAGATAGAGAACAACGGCCCTGTTTGCATCAGGACTTCGTCTCTACCTGCTGGTAGAGACAAACACTGGAGCCGCGTTTGTTGTCTTGACCCCCGCTCCGTTTACAACAACCACCCAGCCTACACAGCATTTCTATCATGGGGCAGATGCTGTGTAAGTCATGGCTTGCATCCCCCAAAACTCTGTAGGCACCCTATGCGGTCGCCGGAAGCATTCCCAATCAATCGTTTCTAGTTAACATAAGTTACGGGCTGCAGTTTTTGTCTGTACCCACAGCACCAGCAATAGCAACAGCAGCAGCAGCAGCAGCAACTTCAACAACAGCAACAACAACAACTACTACTACTACTACTACTACTACTACTACTACTGCTACTCCTGCTACCACTACTACTAAACCCCCGGCATCAACGGCAGCCCCAATGGCCCCAGCACCGCTGCCAGCACCACCGCACCCTCACCCGCACTAACAACACCCGCAACAACAACAACAGCAACAACAACAGCTACTACTACTACTAGGACTGCTGCTACTGCTGCTACTTCTACTACTACGACTCCGGCTACGATGACGACGACGACAACAACAACAACAACAACAACAACAACAACAACAACAACAACAACAACAACAACAACAACAACAACAACAACAACAACAACAACAACAACAACAACAATTACTACTACTACTACTACTACTACTACTACCACTACTTCTGCTCCTACTACTACCTACTACCTACGAAGACCACACGCTACCCAATACCCCACTACCCACTACCTTCTGCCTACTACATGCTACCTGCTACCTGCCTAATCCACTACGTGCTACCTACCTCCTACCACCTTGCCACCTTACCACCGCCCACCTGCCACTGCGGCGACTGTATGACTACGATGACGGCGGCTGCAACTGCTACCGCTACTGCTACTCCTACTGCTTCGGCTCCAGCTGCTGCTACTGCTGCTACTGCTGCTGCTACTACTAGTACTACGACACAACTACTGCTACTACTACTAGGACTGCTGCTACTGCTGCTACTTCTACTGCTACGACTCCGGCTACGACGACGACGACGACGACGACGACAACAACAACAACAACAACAATAACTACTACTACTACGACGACGACTACTACTCCTACGTACTACTGATGCTACTGCTGCCGCTGCTGCTGCTACAATCTGCCGGGTCGCGGGTTGGTGCCAGAATCAGGCTTGTGGGGCAGACTGCCCCCTCTTCTGTGAGCTCCTGGAACATTGGGCGTTGACTCGCCGGACAGGTCTTTTGGCCTCCCGCCTGGCTAGGACGAACCTACGATGCAGGGTGCGATACTGGACTCAAGACAGGACTGTACATAACAGCACCGGTTCGGCATCTAATCCCCTTAGGAGTCGGCATCCAGTGTGTCGAAGGCATGCAACTTTCGGTGGTATGTGTTGCACACGCCACCTTTGCCTGTGCTCATTCATGCTTTTCACGGTACTTTTTTTTTTTTTTTAAGGTGCAGCGGCCCTTTTCTGTGCGATAGGCCTGCCTCATAGAGGCTTGCACGTCAGAAACAACCCGAAAAAACTCTCTCTCGGCATCACAGTGCAGTTCCCCATCATGGCTGAGTGCACCCTTGTGGTAGTCGTGCAGTCCCCACGTTGTTGAGTACACCTTGTGTTTCATCCCTCAGACAGAGACTTCTTGTGGATTCCAACACGGCCCTCATAAGGATCCCGTTCAGTACGAGGAGGCTCCCCAGGAACAGGGGCAAGAGCGGCGTCAGGTAGAGCAGCACGCACCTGTAACCCAGCAGGGTCCTGTTCGGCACGCGGAGGCTCCCCAGGTACAGGAGGAACAGCGGGGCCAGGTAGAGCAGCACGTACTTGTAGTCCAGCGTCGGCACCAGCAACAGGAGGAACGCCTTCATCACGAGGGTCGTCAGGCGCATGGCCACCATCTCCTTGTGGAACAGCAGACACAGTCGCTTCAGCATTGTTTTCCATCCCAAGGTCAGGGCTACTTCCCACAGTGGGCGGCAGAGGCATCGTAGGACGATCACCCCCAGAAGAGGAGGCTGGGCAGACAGCCGGTTCTTCAGGAGGTAGTGCAGCACGAACAGGAAGAACTGGAGGCTGTGGTAGAGCAGGAGGTGCGGCATTAGCTACGGGTTCTGCGGCAGGAGGGCGTTCACCCCGTTGAGTGGCTGCCGCCCCAGGGCGTCTTGTAGAGCGTGAGCGCGACCTGCTTCCACGTGGAGCATCCCGAGTGGCTCGGGAGTGCCCAACACCATCTTCAAGTGGTCCCACCATTTCAAGAGAGCCCGGGGGACATCCCGTGAGCTCACGTAGCGCCGACTCAAGTTCCTTCTCGAACGACTTCACCACGAGGAACTGGAACTCGCTCATCCATGATGCGACCCTCGAGCGTAGCGCCCCATAGGGTGGAACACGCTGGCTGGGATAGCTGCACATCACCGCGCTAGGACGAACTCTCGCTCCCAAGATCCGCTCCATCCCTTGGGCGACGATGTGTGCACTGGAGGCAGCATCAAGGACTTGTTGCACGCCCCATCTGTACTCTGCTCCAACGTCTCGTTGTTCTTGCTGTTCCAACCCGCGCAAAAGTTCACGAAGTGCTCCACGTAGTTCATCGCACACCCCTAACTCGTCGAGCTCATTCTCCTCAGCAGGCGTGAGTTGCATCATGATCGTTGCATCCCCTTCAGCACTGACGTCCTCGTTGTCGCCATTGTCGTTGGTGGGAGCTGGGTCGTCGCTTCCTCTTGCACCTCGTGTGGGAACATCCCCAGCATCGGCGTGTTCACCTCCCCGCTGTCGTTGACGCGCTCGTTCCACCATCGCTCTCGCCCTGGCTCTCGCAGTTTCTAAGGCCACGGCGGCCGTGTTCGTGTTCTGAGCGATCATCATCCCAGGTGCGGGAAGATACGGGGGGTCACCCACGTCAGCCGCCTGGAGCCACACGTCCTGGAGGAGCCGCTGGACTAGTTGAAGGTGGAACGCCCCGAGCACCTTCTGGAAGCCGGCGAAGCCCACGCAAAGTCTACCTCTCATCCCAAGGTCTTCCGGCCGCTGCTCATTTTCACCCCCAACGCGACGGAAGAGGATGTCATGTACGAGATCAAGGGTCGCCTCCGACAGGATGAGCGAGTGTGCCCACTGTCCCAACGCCCAGGACACAGCTTCCACCCCAGCTCTTTCACGGATATCCTCGAGGTACAGTAGAAACTCCCGGAGGTCATCGACGACACCACTGTCCCACCCCAGTTCCATGAGTTCATCTCGTTCATCAGCGGTGAGTTGGAAACTCTGAGCCGGTGGCTGTTCTTGGTCATCCCGAATGGTGGCATTGGAACCCTGCTCATCTTCATCGCCAGAACGGTTATGTCCGCGAGCTTCCTCATCGTCACCATCCCTGGCACGGCCCGTCGCCCCAGTCTGCATCATGGCCACTTCATCCTCCACAGACTCCAGTGTCCCGTCTGCTCGTTCATCCCCACTGCTGGAGGGAAAACTGGCCCTGGAAGACTGCGAGGATGACGTCCCGGATGAAGTCGTAGAAGAGGCAGAGGTCGTGGAGGAGGTCGTCGATGTCATAGTCCATGAAGGTCGGCAGAACGAAGTGGTTCCAACCCTGAGCATGTTGACATAGTGCTCAATCTCAGGTAGGCCAGGGCCCGACCAGTCGACTGCAAAGTGGCTCCCGTCAAATCCCATGTTCCGGCACTGAGCACGCCCCCATTCTCTCCATTCGTCAGCACTCCACCACGGAGAGGTCCACGTCCCATCCCCCGTTGTAGAACGAACCTGATGCACCATGTGTCGTTGAGGGTCTCCATCACGGGATCCTTGGCCACTGGCACCGCCGCTTCCACTAGGAGGTCCACGGTTGTCAGCCCGTTGAAGAAGTTCCCGGAAGTAGTCGCGGAGGTCATTGTCGACGGTCACCCCGGCTCCATCAGCTTGAGCACGACGAAATGCTGCAGGTCGGAAGGTTCCATCAAACCACTGTGCCTGTCGTTCATCTCGACGTGTGGTTCTCGTTTCTCCACCCCCCCCTCTTTGCCAGCGTTCTTCCCAGTCGGTACGAGGCCGATCAACCCAATTGCCAGCACGATAGAACCCACTGGCACGACGTTCAGGGGGTAGAAGAGGAGCACCACGACCCCAGCCAGGCACCCAGAGGTAGTCACCTTCACCCCTTTCTCCTCGTCGGTCAGCACGGTCAGCAGGTCGATGGTGTTCTGAATCAGCGTGTCTTCGATGTGCAACTGGAGCTCCATGTTCTCGCGGTACATCATGTCCTCGGTGGCCATCCCTCCGTGGGTCATGCCATTGGTGGTGTTGTTGCCAGTTGTCCCAGTTGTCATCCCACCGGTCATTATGCCACCCTCTATGACGTCCAGGGGCCCTCGTCTGACGATCATCGTCAGTGTGTTGCCATGTTGAGCTCATCCGCGTTCCACCTTGTCCAGCATCAGCACCACTTCCATGTTGCTCGCCCCAGGAGGACCATGCCCAAGTAGGCGACCACTGCCCGGGTCCAAGGTTTCCATCCCGATCCGACGACGGTTCCCATGTGGACCACGACGTCCACGACCACGTAGGCGACCACTGACCCGACCCCAGGTCTGTCTGTCCCGCTGTCCATTGGCTGTTCCACTGATGGTAAGGGTCGCTCGCCGGCTCAGGTTGGGGCTCACCCCAGTCGCCCCCAGCATCGCTTCCTTCGTTGTTCTCGGCAATGGTGTCCATGTGTTGTTGTTGGGGACGGGAGCTCACAGGTGGTCGTCCATGGACCAAAGGTCCGAGGAGACATCCCAGTGCGGCTGCCAGGAGCGGGACGGCACAGCGGCAAGCCATTGCGGCGATCGAATTGAGTTCACACAAGGTAGGACTGCACGAAGAGAGAGAGAAAGTAAGGATCATCCCAAAAGTCAAAGAACTTCTTCAGAAAGTGATCATCCCAAGTGTCAGATGTCATGCGACTGCATGTCACGCATCACGTTGGAGCTCGAGCAAATCGACCAATCAACCATGTCAACGGCTTCACCAGGCAGAGTACAACCCAAGCACCAAAAGACACAGTGTGAGCACGGCATGACACCTAGCGCGGAGGTAGGGCTGGTTGTCTTCCTCGGGTCCACATTACATCTTGACTCTCCAACCACAGGGGCAGCAAGTTTTTCCATCCCTCACGGTTGGTCGTAGCTCTCTTCCAGTCTAGGCCGACGGCTTCAGCGAGGGCACGCTCCACATTGTCAGCATAGAAGCGTTCAGGATGTCTCACCCCAGTTGTGAGGTTTTGCTGTGCCCTCCACCACTTCAAGCTCCGCCACCCCAGCATCAAGGCAGGCATGCATTCGGAATCTCCTTCACGACGACGACACCAATGTCCGAGCAAAGCAAATTGCAACCGCAGAACTTTGCTACTCCATCTTTCCACCCCCTGGGTCTGCATCCACGCTCTGATGGTTCTCAAGCTGCGTTTGTTATACTCGACCCAGTTCTCTTCACTGCCACGTCGCATCCCAAAAGCCAGACGATAGACCCGCAGCTGGATCGAATTGATCATCATGAGGTCATCCTTAGCCCAGTGCAACGCCCCTGCCGTCCAAGCCCACGTCCCTTCCAAGAGCGATCGCACCATCTTGACTTTAGCACCCCAGCTGCCATGGCCACATAGGATTTCTTTGTTGGCATGAAAGGCATCCCAAATACGACCCATCATCTCGCGGCTCTGCTGGTTGATCTTGGCGTCGAAGTCGAAGTCAACCCCTAACACGCGTATAGAACTTCCGGGCTCGGAGATTTTGACCACCATGCCATCGACAGTCATCTGGCGTCGGCCCTTGTAGTGGCGGTTGGCAACGACCCTGGTCTTTTCCGCTGAAAGGCTTAGCCCCAATTGTCGCAGCATGGCCGAGATCGCATTCACGTTCTTCTCCAGGTTCGTCACATCGTGATTCCAGAGGAAGATGTCGTCCTGGAAGCACCCAACGTCAACAGGCACATCGACGAGTTTTCCTCCGGGCGCGACCCACTGTTTTCCAAGGCGCAGTAGCTGAAGTTCATGGGCGATAATCAACCCAAAAAGCTCGGCTGACTCTGGGCTGCCCTGTTTTATCCCCCGGTTGGCTTCAACCCGTACGGTGCGACCTCCAGGAGCCGTGCCAACCATGGTGTTCTCGGACAGTAGCAGCAGCAGAAAGCGAAGCTCAAAGGGCATCCCAATGTCAGAAAGTCGTTCCTGTAGGAAGGAGGCGACGCACCCACGGTCAATGAAGTCAAACGCCCAACGCACGTCAAGCTTGACCGCGACAACCCCAACGCGCCACTCGCGCGTGACATCCCGAAGGCGGGTGAACGTCCCAATGAGGTCGGCTGCTTGGCGCCCCTTGCCGGATGCCGAACAACAGGAAGGAGCCCGGAGGTGCTCAAACGTCCGATTCATGATTATCCTGGACATCATCTTCATTGCGGCACTACCCATAGCGATGGGACGAAGGTCACCCGGCTGTTGAGGGTGGAGACATTTCGGCAAGAGCGCGAGCAGGGAGACACCCCAGTTGGGAGGCATGGTGCCACCCCTCAGTACATCAGTGCACATCTGGCAGAGAGCGTCAGGCTGTTCAAGGGCAAGGCGACGAAGAAGGTCAACCGAGACTTTATCACACCCCACAGCAGATCGAGCTCTCATCCCAGTCAGGGCAGTGATGACCTCGATTTCGTTTATGGGACAGATCGCATTTTCAGGTAGCTCAAGACCATCAAGTCGTCGTTGTAGGTCAATGTCCCAGTTGCGTGCAACATCCCACAGCTTTTGGCCGAGATGACTCTCAACCTCGCTAGCAACTTGCCCGCTCTCCTTATTGGTAAGAAGTTCACCCCACCAGCTGGTACGTCGTCGAGTAGCTTTGTGGGCTCTGTAGGCATCCCAGTCCCCGTAGAGGATGTTGGAGATCCGCTGCTGCTGCCATCGTCGCCGTTTTTTCCGACGTTCTTTGTGGACGAGCTTCCACTTGAGTTTCTTGTCATCCCCAGTGGCCCGTTTAGCCTCCAAGATAAGTGCCTCCATCTCCTGATCATCCCGATAGCAGCACTTCGTGCGCGCCCGACAGTGTTCATTCGCAAGTTGCTCAACATCCCCAAAGTCATGGACCGGAGGAAGGGGATCTGTGCCGACAACCCAGCGTGGTCGGCTGTCATACCATTTGCAGGGCCGACTCTTCTGCAACTCAACGAACGTCTCGAGGAGCGCATGGTCAGTGTTGATCTCGAGTCTCATTTCGGGCCTCAAAGTCACACTGGTCACCCCTATCCTTCGGGAGAACATAGCGTCAATGTGGCGCCCTTCACGTTGTGCATCCCTCGGGTAGTGCGTCGGGAGAAGGCGATCACATTCGCGAGGTGGCACGGCACGAAGGAGCAAAGAACTCATGGCCTCGAGTGTCTTGTCAACTTTCGCCCCAGAGGCGATCGAGGCGTCCTGCGAGTCCTCCATGTTCCATCTCACAACTTCGTTGACATCTACCCCAGCAAGGACCGGGAGCTCAGGGTGCCATCGTCGTAGCATTTGCTTGAAGGCCGTGACGTCCCGATGATATGTAGCCACAGTCACACCCGTGGGGCAATGAAGAGAGCAGAGGATCACACGCTTGTGGCTCTTGAGGCGCACGACCCATGCCGCACCACGTTCACAGGAGGTCTTGTCCGTGATCGAGTCGAAGAGCTCGCGAGCGACAGCAATGCCCACCCCTCTCCATTGATCTTTCCCCTGGTGCGAGAACCAAACGAAATTGTCCGTTTCGTGCTCATCCCATCCGGCTTTACCTCTCGGCATTTCTTGAAGAGCAAGAAGATCAAAGGAGCCAGCGACCAGGTCAATCTTTGACAGTCCCTGACCAGCAACATTCCACGACCCAAATTTTCTCAAGACCCTCATTGACGGTCGAGCATCAGGTCGGGGTTCGCCTCGAAGTAGACGGTCGTTCAACGAGCAATCGACTTCAAGGCTATTGGTGAAACCGCCCTCCATCGTAGTTCACAGTTCCCGCTCAAAGGCGGCCAGAGCAACATCATATGCCACCCCAGTCGCCCGCGAAATGGAGCCAAGATCAATCCATCCCGAACTCAATTGTTTGATGTCCTCACCCTTGGGCATCCGGTGGGTAGCCGACCCGAGTTTCCATTCTCCAACCCAGACCGTCCCCGACCCCCAGTCGATCTCGTAGACGCTCTCGGTCTTGGCCTGCATGTTGTGTGCCTCCCCATTGATCGCCGCGTCGTTCACCATCCCATGGCAAACTCGCCGAAGCATGGATCCATGTGCACCCCTACGTCTTGCCTCTCGGGTCTTGGTGAAGCTACACCAAATCTTCTTCTTCTCCCCCAAGGCAGCCGTAGAATCCAACAGGAAGGGTTCTGCACGAGCTGCCTGGATGACACCCCACATTCGATCACGCATGTCCTTGTTGGTCTCGCCGTCCCGAACGATGAACTTCAGTACCCCAAAGGACCGCCGAGGGCCCCAAACGGTGAGAGAGGTCTGGTCCAGGAGAGATGCCACCCCATCCTTGGAGAGAAAACCAGCCGACTCGTCAAGAATGGTTTGGCGCTTGGAGTCCTGAGCCCATCCCCCGACAATGAGGGTTCGCTTATCTTCATCTGAAAGTTCGTCCCCAGGACCTCCATGAGCAGGGGCAGCAACAGGATCTCGGGAGGTTTTGCCATGGGGGTTCGAGCCAGCAGCCATCCCAGGTGCGGGGCCATGTTTGAGGCGGTAGTCGGCCCATGCATCTCCAGCCACGCCGCCACCACCCCCAGGGGCTTTACACTCGCGGCTCACTTTGTGTCGTGTCCCCTTCATTGGTTGGTGCTGCGTCTCCTGACACCCCCTGTTGTCGGGCTTCTCCCGGATCTCTGTGCTTCTCACTGCCACTTGCAACTAATTCCATCATCAATTCGGTCACTCAGTGTTTACCCTCACTCTTGTGCCCCGGCAGTCTGGTTTTGGCCTCCTGAATTGACTGTCCGGTCTCGTTCGAGTGAATGCAGCGCCTCAGCCTACTAGCTAGCCCAATGTCGACCTTGACGGGATCCCATATGCCTTCTTCCTGCCCCCGCAACCCAAAGTAAACCTACCGATTCGAGAAAACACATGTCTACTCAAAGCCGAAGGCAAGCGAACAACAGACTAATATGTGTACAAACAGCAGCCAGCCAGCTGATGCCTCTGCCTAACACCTAGTGCACGTCAAGTCCGCGCACTGTTCAGGAATCCATCACCAAGTGTTCCAAAAGCTGCATGTTTTCCAAGCCCACAGATCCTTTGGTCCAGCCTGTAACGCAGCGGTGATGATGGGTACCTTAATAAATTCAAGCATCTTGACATCTTTTTCAGTCGTACCTAGCGTTTGAGGGCTGGGAAATCTACAACTGTCCAGGCAGCTTCTTAAGAGTCACTTCCTCAGTCCTGCACCGACATGTTTTCACCCATGCTACAACCGCACACAGCGAAGCTCCCAAGCTAAAACTGCGCTCAGCGGCCAAGAACGCCGCTGTCTTGCCACTGCCAGTCTGTGCAGAAACCTGGGCGAAGAGCTGCAGCGACCCTCAAGATCTGGGACCCAGGTCTCAGGTTGAAGAAGCCTTGACTAGGTTATTTATTCGCGGCCTGCTTTGCCTTGCGATCATCGGGACGGGATAAGCCGGATAAGCATTTCAGGCCAGCAAGCTGCGAGCTGCATCCTCGAATGCCCTCAACGATCGGGTGTCATAAACGAAGAAAACGTGCAGAAGACTCAAACGCCAGACTTTGCAAGACCAAGTTGCCATCACGTCACTGCCTGCAGCGACCCGAGGCCAAAAGTTCTTTGACGATGCATTCAGTTTAACCTTTGCCGCGTAAGCTACGACGAATTAGACTAAATAGTGCTGCTTCATCAATGCTTTGGCAACTAAACGTGAACAATGTTGATTTAAGCAACTGTCCTCAGTCAGCTCAGATGGCCCGGAAAGTTGTTCTGCAGTTGTTTGCTGCTATTTAATTTGCGATCTGGTGGGTGTGCCGTCGCTGTCGCTGCCACCAAAGAGAAGTGCAAGAAGCAATTGTCAGCTACGTCAAATCCACATTGTGGATATTGAACCAGCAGGCAAGCTGAGTAAACAGTAAAATCGTGCTTGTGGCATCACTTCGGGCGGCAAGAGTCACCCAAACATAACCAGACATACTTTGAATCAATTTTGCCGTTGCCTCAGAAGCAGGCTCAAATGTTTCTTACCTGGCACTTACAGCCACGTTTTGGAAATGATGACGGTGGTGCTTCGACGAGAAACGGCCCTATTGTCAGTCTTCAGCTGTTCAATATTTTGGGTGTTCGGAAGTCCACTGCTGGGATTGACGGAACTTCGACATGAGCCTCTGTTCACTGAAACTCGGCGAGGCGTTCGGCAAAAGCAGCCCTGCACAGGTGGCCTTCCAGCACTGCGGGGATGCTGTACTTCTGAACGGGCGTCGGGGTGTCATAGCCTGATGCTGCAGTGCAAGAGTTGAGGCTCTCTGCACCTTCTGGCCTTAAAGTTCCTCTTCTGTGGACTGTGAATCCCTTCAGAGGAGACACGGCCGTTCTGGCTGGCAGCAAGCTTACCTGGCACAATCGGCCTTTAGCGCACGGATGATAAGGCAATGCCCAAAGTTCCCTGCATCGATACATCAGGACAATATACGTAAAGTAATCGCGGCTTCGTTCTTGGAATGACTGGTGTCAGGGGTCCTACCGGGCAGAGCATTCAAGCCGGCTGCCACATCGCTCAAGATTGGCTGTCAGCTCATCTGGCAGCTGGTACTTGTCACATGCTTCCTGGAACCTGGGCTCTGGCGAAGAACTCTGGATAGCTGGGTGTGAGCACCATCTACACTCGACATGTCGCTAGGAAGCTCCATGCGAAAAAGTATTACTCTGGATGGTAGTGTTTGGACAGCCGCTCGTTTTCTGACCCTGCAACAGCAGATGCAGTAAGTAGACAAGCACACATCGCACCGGTATAGTAGCCTAGTTCTGCTTATTACTTTGAAGCAGGGCGTCGAGGAAATCGGCTGCTCTTTTCCAGTCCCACCTTCTGCAGTAACCTCAATGTTGTCGTACTTGGCGAAGTTTATGCCGGCTGTCACGTGACTTTGGCCAAAAATTCTGCTCTCCAGCATATCCCACTGCGCATCATCCCTCGGAACCACTCCTCCACGGCTAATGATCTGTCTTTGGAACATGTAGAACTGCTGTGTCTCCCTTTCTCGCTTCATCTCGGTATGTCGTCTTTGTTCGTCTCCACTCATGCGGCCGCCCCCACCATAGCCACCACCATAGGCTCGTCTTCGTACAGCAGTGCGCACACATGCTGCCGCAGCCAACGAAGCCAAGCACAGGGACTGCGCGTTGGAACCTGGCTGTGGGATGAGCTGAGCTTGGCTCCCTGCCGACAGAAACTTGAAAGCCCTAAATTCTTCAACAGACACTTCTTGTAGCAGCAGCACTGAACTAGGGTGGGAGAGAAACGTTGGCTTCTTCTTTCCTCACATCGGCGATGTGACACGGGCGGCTGCGACTGCTCTGCCAGGCGGTTGCAACTGGGGATCGCAAATCCAAGCGGTGCAAGGGCAGAGAGCTCCATGGCACCCTAAGAACTGGCCGGACCCAAGGAATCTGAAAGCCAAAACTCTGAAGGTTGCTTTGGGCTTAGGATTGGAGGGCATCCATGATGCCCGGCCGTGTGCAGATTTTGTGCTGGAGATCCTCTAGTCGCAGTGGTTTCAGGTCGACGACCTGCAAGACGCATGCAGAATCGGCTTGCCATTAAAAGCGCCGATGAAATGTTAGCCTCAACCTAGCCGTCCCACAGAAGACTCACTTACCATGCTGGAGCACCGAAATTCCCTTGCCAGCAGCAGCTCGGTGCCCACGCGGATCCTTGGAGGACTTGAAGATTTTTCTGGCATCCTCTGCCGCAGAGATGACCTGAAAATTGAGGCCCGGCAAATGACCACCTCAAACTAACCAGCCTCAAATCAAAGCCACCATCGCATGGACATGCACTCAGGCTGCAGCCAATTTCGGTCTGCCCAGCCTCAAACCATACAATATGCGGCAGGGTAGATGAGACTTGACTAGCATAGGTCCGACAAGCCATCTCCTGCTCGTAAACAAGCCACACGCAGCTCGGAGCCAGCCCTAAAGCATGGGCAACATCCCAAATTTCAAAAGCGCAGGTCTGCAAGTGCGAAGTTGAGCTCTTGGCTCCATGTAGACGTTGGCAAGGGAGAGTAAGCACATCGCCTTCACAAGTGCAGTTTCTACCTGCTCCTTTAAGAAGCTGTGCCGGCTTCCAATCTTTGCAACCCGGCGTTGGCCAGCCATGACGTTGTCTGATTGTCCATTTGCCCGATGTTGTTGAAGAGGCTTTCTTGGGCGATGGTTTCTTCATTAGAAGAGCGACTTTGGAGTCACCAATGTGTTGTGCTGGGCCACTTGGTCTCCGCACCCCATCCATCCTGTTCGTGATTCCTGCGCTTCCAAACCCATAAGGAACCCACTCTGTTCCCATCGCGGCCTCGCCAAGTTCGTCACGTTCATCTATGCAGGCTGCTTGCTCCTGCACTGAAGAGGGTTGCTGGTTCCAGGATGCTACGCACGTGGATCCAAGCGCGAGATGGCTGCCATTCTTCCTCCCTCCGAACAAGACCATTGCAACAGCAGCCTCTCTGGATGTCCTGCTGTTTCGGGAATTTCAGGGTGCGAGATGAAATCACTGCTCTCACTTCCCAGGTCCTGCTGCAGAATCATGATGGCCTGTTTCGTCGCTTGACCCCCACCACAGTGGGTTCAGTAGGCATGGTTCAGGCACAGGAACCGCACCGACCCGAGGCTCAAGCAGCGGCGACTCTGGGAGATTCGATCTACTTGCTACCAGTCTTTTGTCGCAGCAAAATGAACAACATAACAGGGTCCTTCTCGGACTGCTCCGGCTGCACGAGGAAGACCTGCCGCAATGCTCTGCATGACTTTAAGGCCAAACCACTGCTGCTTTCAGCATCAAGTTCCTCCTCCGCGGACGTGACACAGATCTAATTATGGAAAAAACTGTTGAGGTGTTCGCAGTCACAAGCCTTTGTATCTCCTGTGGCCCCTAATTCAGCACCTTCGCCTAAATCCCGGATCGACAAAACGCCTGCGAGCTAACCCAACCTAGCCGCGAAGAGTGATTAGTTTTTGACTGATCTGGGCTGAAAAACTAGGGAAGGGAAACAAGCCACGATGCTTGGAAAGCCTTGCCGGCTTGACCCTGAGAAACTTACAAATCCAATTTCTCATGCACTGCATCCCCTGAAGCGATGCAATCCAAATCTTGTCTCCGAAGCACCGTCTACACTGAACACAACATGTTGATTTGACGCTTTGGGTTCCGTTCTAAGACCCGCGGCCGAGGCGAGGATGTTCAGCGCTTCACTGCGGGCGGCCCTGACAAGGCTACAAATTGAACAAGCACTTCCGATTTGGCAGGTCTTATTAGCAACCGTTTAAGTTAGAATCGGCTTGCAGAGGCAGAGTCTTCAAGGGATTTGATTTGGGGCACAAGCGTCCTGAAAATGGTCTGGATGCGTAGTCGGCCGACATCATTTCTTGGTGCCACTGACGAGAAAGGCTCGGGTTGCGGGCATCTCCGAAGCGAGGGTCGCAGGCTTGGCTCTCTAGACGAATGCACAGTAAGGGCTCCCGGGCAGCATGTGGCCTTTTCGCCGCGGCATTGCACTTTAAATACCCCCCTCCCCCCCTCACACGATTTTCAATTGGCAACCACTTTCGAGTGCACCCAAATTTGATGTTGATCTGGATGTTGCTGGCTACAGACGACATTACATGCCAGCTCCATTCACTTGGATTGCGCATTTTCCAGTTGGTGCGATCGCTCAGCTGCAGTACAGCAGCTCTGCAGCTCGCTAAGTCCCCATTGAAAAAGATTTTCAATCATAGACTCGCGCGTTTTCACGCTTGTCAACCTCGCAACCTGAACCAAAGGCGCCTGTGCTCCAACAGGACTCTGCCACAGGCAACGAGCTCAATATCAGCAGGCACCACCCTGACAAACACAGTTAATTCGAGCAGTCTCTTTGATAGAAGCACAACGCCCCGGCACAGTAGTGCCCCGCAGCAGGCAAATCAAAAACAGCATCAACCCGACAACCTATTTTTCGCAACAGAAGTACAGTAGACAATGAGCCGCCTCGCCCACACCAGTTTCTCTTCCTTGTTGAGGTGTCTCAGGGCCGGGAAATTACAAAAACATGATTTGCAACAAAAGTGTGCAATCAAAGGTCATAGCATGGTGGCATCTCTCCGGCTTCGTGCATGACTGATTTCAACTGATGACCCCAGGTTGCAAGAAATGTCAAGCGAAAGACAAGTGGAGCCTCCTAACACATGTCTTCAGATTGGTGTCTGTACAGCTGGGAACAAAGGAAGTCCAAGCAAACAAACAAATCATGGTCAAGGTTGTGCATGTGGCGGTCAAAGGGCTCTAGTTCCCATCATCGGCTATGCTGGCGGTGGGCACAGGCACCATCCTAACAACTCAAGTCGTTGTCATCAGAATGTCTCGGCTGTTAAAAATCCGCTGCTTTTGCACGCAAGTACTCACAAGAATTGAACTACTGCAAAGGCAACCACCCTTCCGGTACGATCTGCAATATCACAAATACTTTTATGCCGGAGAATTTGCTGGCAAGTTTGGAGCTGAAGTCTTCAGAAAGTTGCTCCGCCAAACCGCCCGACATGTTGGGAGGCCTTCATTTTCCAAAGCCGCACCGTACCCCCAAAGTCGGCCCACCACTCTCTGGTAGGCCTGTTTTGCCTCGGGGTCCCGGGTCAACCGGCAATCGCCAGTGCCCTATGCAGGAATATGTTATCCGACCTCCGTGGCTCGTGGCCCGTGCCCGCCCTCCACAAAGCAGCCACCGTTTGGGTGCTGGCTACGATCAAAACAACAATGGTTGGGCACAGAGAACATGCCGCCCCGTGTGGCTTAATGTGTTTCGCAACCTGCATTGCTTTCACTCCTGGTCAGCCAGTCAGCTAGGTCCATCAGGGCTGGTCCGAAGAGATTGGAAAGAGCTTTCAAGGGTTAAACGCTTGGTAGTTGCTCTCATTCTTCGCTTCTCTTGTCTACTTTGCTTCATGGCTCGCCCGTGCTTCTAGTTGTCAGTTTTAAATCTTAAGTTAGGCACCTGCGCGTTAAGCACAACCGTAATTATAGAACAGCCCACACGTGAACACATGCCTGCCGCTCTGCGCTACTCTACTGCATCGCATATGAACGCCTTCACTACTAGGTGGCGTGACCACAGCGCCATCATGCGCACATGCCTTTGGCAATCGTAAGGAAATCGGTTTTCGATTGCTGAGCTGATCTGAGCTTGGATTCCACAGCGGTTTTGGGGGGACTTCTTCCATGACCCCATATAGCCGGTCAGCTACGTCTGAGCCGTGTAGCCCTGAAATCTCTGACCGAACTCCATCGGAGGACGCACTCCGTCAATCCCCGTATGCTACGAATCCCTGCCCTCAGTCCTGTCCCCGAGGCCATTTGCGAGGCGAACGGCGCTGCGTGCGTGATGCTCTGCCTCATCGGTGCTGAGTTTGCATCGCAACCACTGCAACCGCTTTTCACGTACCAGTACATCCGCGGAAACACTCGCACCCAGTCGCACACATCTTCGCACTGCTGACTCAGGATGGGCCAGGCATCGAACATTCTAGTTGGGGCAGCGGATACACTGCAGTCGTTCGGATACGTGGCAGTGTGGCTGCAGGAATGGCTCTCATCCTATAGATTCTGCCGTAGCTGGCCTCTACAAGCAGCACAATGCCGCTGCAAAGTCCTAGTCTGGAACCCTCCGCGCTCGAGAAAATCTGTGCCTGCTCCACCTGCTGAAACTCCAGGCACACCCCTGCCATGGTGCAGAGCCTGAACTCGGAAGGTCACCAAGACAAAGGAGTTACACTCGAGGTGTTGGTGCTGGCTAGGTGATCTTGACTAAACAATCGCACGAACACTGACGATACCGCACGAACCGTGCGTGCAAACCATGGAGGACACGAGAGCCAAGCTGAGAATGGGCAGAAACTCAAACATCAACGGATCAACGGCATCAAAAGACTTTATCCTGACATCGCATCGTGGCAGTCGCGCAGGGGCTCCGAGCATGTGTGCTTCTTTCCACCTCTCGCCCTGTTCCTGCACATGTCTATGCAATGCCGGAGAACATGATGGACCAAAGGATCGACTTAGGAACATTCGAGAAGTTGGCGGCGTCGGTGTCACCGTGCGTGCGAGGCTCACTTGTTCATGTCCAACATGTGTCCACATTCTGATTTCAATCATCTATGCGGCTCTAACGTCGACTCAGGCAGAATGCAAACGACACGTGCAGCCTGCGAGATAACCCCATGGATCAGGACCGGAAATATCTTCGCACACGGCAGCTTAGAATGTAGATACATCTAACTTTGAAAGACCTTTTAGACAAAAATAACTACGCGCGGTAGGTTAGATTACAGGTGCGCTATGTGCAGATTCAAGTTATGCACAGAACGGCAACCCAGCGCGTGTCCCGGTAGGCCAGGCAGGCGTCGGCACACAACTGCAGGATCCTGCAGGCAGCGCATAGGGCACTGTGCCGGCGGCATCCAGTCCGAGTGCCCGGTTTGGAGTAGAGCATGTGACTTGCCATTCCCCGTCGTGCCAGCACATGGACAACATGATGTTCCGGCTGTGCGGCGTGCCTGTCCAGGCTGTCCTGAACAAGGAGCAGGCAAACATATATAGGTTGTTGAGTCTCTCGGCGCAAGACATCTTGGGGAAGGACCTGGTGAAACAAGGTCTTGCACACTAACAAGAATATAACTTTCGAACACAGCGCTGTTGATGCAATTGCCCATTAATTGCAAGCGAGAAAGCCACAAATGCCACAAGCAGGTGCTCGGCAGCACACATTGTTCCCTCAACAGCTGAAGACCTGACTACAGTTTAGCAACGACCTGTGACTTCTCAGACCTCAAACGTTGGATTTTTGCATGTTTCTGTCTCGGTTCCGGCCGCGAACCTGCCTCGCGTAGAATGGTATGATGGACGCTCATCCCAGAGCCAAAGGAAGCATCTCTTAGAAATGCAAACTACGCATGCTTTCGCTTCCTTTTCGGCAATCTTCTGTTCGATGAGTTCCTCCAGCGCATCTGGCCTTGCTGAATCATCGGCTGTGACTGTTCTCCAATGAAGCAATCGGACTCAACATCCCTCCTACACGTGCTTCTTCAACTTTCAACTTTATAGGTGTTGTTCGCAGCGCAGGCAGAGGCCCGCCTGTTGGAGTAATTACACTTCGGCGCGCAATACCCTCACTTGTATCCGGGCTGGGCAGAGGGCTGACGTAAACCACCATGTTCTGTTGCGAGTAACACCAGTATTAGTACCAGCCAGCATGGGCTGCAAATCCTAGGTCCATGTCATGTCGCAGATCCGGCAACGGCCATACATTCTGTGTCCTGCTGACAGCACGGCTGTGCATTCCGTGTCTACAAGGATTTCCCGAGCTGCCTGCAGGGGAAAATCTATACACATCGATTGTGCCAGGACAATGTCCTGGAAACAAGCTTGCTGCCAGTTCGCCGCGAATCCTCTTCATCGGGCTCGCGATAGCTGAAGCGCTCGACCTGAGTACAAAAGATGAGCGCCGAACCCGCTGCGAAGCCTACTGCCGGATGCTGAAGCTGCCGCTGCCAAGCCAAAATCAGCGCACTTCATCTTCGGTCCGTGTCATTCAGGCTCCGGCCTGGGAGCTGTAGGCACTGACGGAAGGCTTGCCCATGGCAGCAATCCGAAAGGAGGGACACAACTTCGCCAAAGAATGCTGGTCTGAGTGAGGTCTGAGCCTCTGAGCTCTGAGTGCCAAATGCTACGTGAAATCTTTTCGTTGTGTTCGAAGACGTGTCGCTTCGAGGATGGGGCAGGAGGTGATGCGTCTTTAGCTGGGAATGCTGGGATGCTGCGACATGCGCGATGTGCGGAGGGGGTTTCGAGATTGGGTTTGGTATACCTAATAGCCGTGGACACTGGCTAAGACAGTCGAGCCTTGAGAGGAGACGAGAGTCGAAGCGGCATACAGCAATGCGCATGCAGCGAGCGGATTCGCGTTGATGACCTGACAAGTATTGAGCGAATAACACGTGATCCACGCATTGGGATCAGATCTTACCGACGCCATGCACGGCAGCGACTTGAACAGAATCAACTGAAAACCTTTAGACAGTTCCGTTGTCGAGGGGTGCATCTCGGGTGCCTGCTTGAAGCAGCCATGCCAGTTCGAAGCCTAGCTACTGAGACAGCACTTCGGCGGAGTCGTTGCTAATTTGACTTCCGTTGAAGGCTTCAGTTTGGAAAATGCTTCTTAAACGGTTTGAGCAACGGCATTCCGGCTGTGTGGGCCGCAAGAAGTGGGGACATGCGCCTCCGGTGTACCAAAGCGTACCAAACAACACTATCCCTTCGAAGAGTTTGGAGCCTGCCAGCGGTGGCAGTGCAATGCAGTGCACACGGGCTTCCTTATCTTGCCGGACATTCAGCTAGGACTCGTTGCAACTCAGCTTGTTTCCAACTCTGGATTATCGTTTAGTGTTGCCAGGTTCTCATGGGGAACCCAATCTTCAGGGCAGCGGTGCAATCACAAGAGGATGGAAAGTCCGGAAAGTGCCCCTTTAAGCCACTCCGAACTTTTGTAAAGGCCTCTGCGGCTTTCCTCTGCAATGGAATAATCGAATACAAGGCTGAGCCCAACTTTAGAAGCATCGCTCTTGATGCTATTTCAGGTGTCAACTTTGGACACATGCGGAGCCCCGGCGCGAACTCTACGTGCGAATGTCCTCTTCTCCAGAACCTGTCCGGAAGAGTTGACTCCGGCGGGACGTCTTCATCACCTGGCAGAGATGTGCGGAGGGAGGGTCTTTTGATTTTCAAGACATGCTCAATTCCACGCACCTTCTAAGCTTATTTCATCGTGGCATTGGCAGACTCGATCACTGGTGTGGGGCCACTCTGTATCACGCACACACTTTGGTGCGCCGGTCGGGCTCTCAATTCTCAATTCAAAGGCCTTGCGTTGCTAGAAGGCAAGGCCTCTTGCCAAGGTGCCGGGATACTGGATGCCGATGCTAAGGCCTCGAAAAAGGCAGGGCAGGAAGCGTCGGCCGAAGGGCGCCAGGGACAGGAGGCCGAGCACCACAGGCCAGGGCAGCAACGCCCCACGATATCCACTTCGGCGGGATACAACTAACGAGACAAGAACGCCGGCGAGGAGACCGCCGAGGTGTGCTTCGTTTGCGACGCCCGGCACAATGGCACCCATGACAAGCATACCGAAGACTGACTGCAAGAGTGCCTTGAACTCACGCACTCTACGGTTTCGGAGGAGGGACACCAGCTCGAAGCCCATGAGACCACATAGACCACCAGAAGCCCCAACGGCATAGCGTCCTGTGCCATAGTGCAGGAAAGCCCAGTTCCCGGCGATTCCGGAAAGTATGAAGGTGGTCAGGAAAGCCCCACGGCAACCCACCTCCAACGGAGCCAAGGTGTACCTTGGTCTTCTCAATCAAGCTTCATGTGATGTATCCTGCTGCAGAGCTGCTCCTACTTGTGACAGGACGCAGGAAGCCAAGGTTGAAGAGGATGTGGAAGACGTTGTGGTGGAGGAAGCAAGCTGTGAGCAGCCGGTGTAGCTGGCCTCTTGAGACGAAGATCGCATCCATGCCGAAATCTCCTTGCAAAGTGCTCCAAGTAACAGGGATCCTCCTCCCTGCCACAAGAGCCACAGGGTGGGTGCCCAGCATCCAGCTCTCCAATGCAGTTGAGCTGGGCAGGCGCTTGTACCAGGGCAGGCTCTGATTGAAGGCTTTGAGGTTCCTCGGTCTGCTCTCGGCAAGTCTGAAAAAAACGATGTTTTTTGGGTTCAGAGCCGAGGTGCTGCCACCCCTGGAAGCCTTGCCAAACCCAAAGCAGGCCCATGAGCAGCGCCAACGCAGCAGAAACGAACAGTTTGCGACGCCAAAGGTCTCTCAGCTGGCTGTATAGGGGTATTCCCTCCAAACTACGCCGTCGCCCTCTGGACTCTGCTCGCAGGAAGATGCGCGACGTTCGTCCAAGCGCACCGTATACTGACCCGACAGTGGACAAGGCGAGGGCAGCGCCAAATGCTCGGTCATTGCCAGAACGCGGTGGCATTGACATGCCCGGCTCAGGCCAGGCTCTGCGCGACCCGTCTCCCACAGTCATGATTCCCTGGTGTACTGACGGTGACCTGCAGGAGACTGCCGGCAACATGGCCGCAGGCTCCGAACTGTAGCAAGCTATGTGGCTACCTCTGCGAATTTCGGCAGAAACATGTCTGAGCTGCCTCGGCCTCTCGCTTCAAATTTGAGCCACTGGAGGATTTCAAACGCTTCATCATAGAAAGACGTTGGGCATTTTCTGCATGATATCCTGCGGGCAGCCCCTACTTTTTCCACGCGCGCACCAGCAAACCTTCCAATCGAAGCTTCGCATGGCGATAAGTAGCGCTGCGCATCAAAGCTTCAACTTCGATAAGGCCTGCGCAACAATCGCTTCGATCGACAACTGTCTGCCCGAGGGCCTGTCTTTACAGCATAGACGCTGACCTGCCGTTGATGTTCATGAACTTTCAGGGGACTTCAAAGGACACGAGCCATAGGAGTAAGAGTAGAGTTTGAGTAGCAGGCGCGAAGGTCCCTTCCCCGCTTCGGCGGGTATATGGCCTGGAGTAGAGCTCGGCCTCCGTCGCGCTCGGCGCAGCGAAGCGCCTGCTACGAGCCCTTGTAGGTCTCCGGTCGTGTGGCCTTTATAGCCACTATATATATAGTAGAAGCTGACGGCATGCAATTGAACGCATTGAAACTCGGCTCCAAACCATGCGCTGGTCTGACCATGCAGCGCCCCTTTTCCCCGTGCCTCGCCGTCTACCACATCTCCTCGCACTGATGCGTATGGGAACTTCTTCGAGCTGTTCTGTAGCCGGCTCTCATGCAAGTTTTTTTCAGTGCGACTAGAGTTGGCTGCTGCATCGGGTTACGAGTGAGCGTTGCAGTAGCAGCAGAAGCTGCAGAAGCAGCAGCAACAGCTCCAGCAGTTTCAGTCCCGGCGTGTCCTATAGCTGCCCTAGCGCTCCTGTGGGGCGGTTCGCGACGTTGACGACTGCAGCCGCAGCCTTGATGCTGCCCTGGGCGTGG